CCAGTTGAGAGCCTGGCATTCCCAGTCCACCCTTGTGTGAAGCCCATGTTTGCTTTTTGCCAAATGTTTCCACCAGGTTTTAGTTTGAACTGTGTTGTGTAGAGAACTGACAGCCATTAGTGAGTTATAGTCCATAGCATTTCAGTTTGAAGTGGATGGAACAAACTGCCATTTCTCAACATGGAACTGAAGGATCAGCTCTGGAGACATGATGAAAGCCTAGGAAAAATCTGCTGCTTGTTTGTTCTGGGACTTTGAATCAGAGTGAATTTCTCTGTACCTCGTTTCCTCCTCTGTAAAATGGGAAGCCTTTTAACCCTCCTTAAGACTTCTGTGACGATAAGATGACTCCAGCAAAGTGTCTTGGAAAATTAGCTGCTATTACTGATGTCATTTGTCATTTTATTGCCTTCAACATGGCTTGAAGTGAGGGAACTGAAGTTACCTCAGCCCCCATTACACACAGCAATGGGGCTGTGTTATGTGATTCACAGGCTGCCACCCAGCTGGTGTTTGAGGGAGTGACCTCAGTGAGTTGACTCTGTAGTGGGGGGAATAATAGAAGTGAGGGAGAGGCAAAATCTGAAGCACTGAAGCCTTGGGGTCTTTCCAAGTGACAAACGCAGGAGTGTTCCAAATAGCAGTCAGCATCAAAGGATCAAAGTAGTTTTGTGTAAATCTTGTGGCTGTTTGTGCCTTTTAGTTACATCTCTGTGGAAGGACCCTGGCTGAGACATACAAGCAAAGCTAAAAACATCTCCCCTTCCAAGGAAACGTGACACAGTGGGGATCCCTTTTTTGTGGAACTTTTGTTTTTAAGGCTAAGAGGATTATGTTTTCAAAGAACATTGAAACAATGGGTGCCTTGGCAAATAAAATTATGTGGTGTTTTTAACTCATTCTCCGCTTAGAACAGCACCTCTCACACTTCTGTGTGCCTGTGAAATCAGCTGGGAATCCTTGTGCTTGTGGCTTTTGATTCGGTAGATTTAGGATGGAATGGAGAGACTTGGATGATGATGATGACAAGGATGATAATGACAACAATGCTTTCTTCATAATAGGATTTGAACTCAAGACCTTGACCTTGCTCAGCTTGCTCTCTTAGCTGGCACTCTACCAGTTGAGCCACACCATCAAATTTTTGCTGGTTATTTTGTTTGAGCCTCCCAGCCTTCTCTGGCTAGGATTATAGGTGTGAGTCTATGGTGCCTGTCTGAAAGCCTTCATTTCTATCATGTTCCTTTCCCATGAACCTCTCTTTTGTATAGCCAAGACCTCGGTCAATGAAGTGCTGTACTTCAGAAGATCAGAATTAACTACCATCCATATCCCTGGGCAGTAACCATTGTCCTTGTGGGAGTAGAAAAAATATATTTGCAGTCTCCACCTTCCCCCCATCTCCATTAAACTCTTGACCAATCTAAATGAAGAGATAAGTACAAAAAATCTCCCATAAGCTTTTGAATGACATTTCTGGACTTTGAAAGAATTGGCCACACTTTATAATTAGAAGTAAAAGCTTATGTGGATACAAGGCCAGAGGATGTTCCTAACTTCCTTTGCATTCAATCTTCTATATTCCTTTTAGGGGAAATTTCAGCTGTTAATTAATTGAACTAACTACTTCAAAGGGCTCATTACAAAAGACTTAAATATTTTTTTTGCCTTTGGATATTTTAAGTTGTAGTTAAAACTCTCATCTCCTAAAATTTGCCAGACCCTAATGAGTCTTGGCTATAATGTGGAAAGTTGGAACCCTTCTACATTGTTCATCAGTGACAAGATGGTACCGCGGCTTTTAAGACTTAAGTAGTTCCTTGGGAAGTTAAAACATAGTTAGCATATGACCCAGCAATTCCGCTCCTAGATAAACACACCTTCTAGCATTGAAAGCATGTCCTACAAATGTTGTATACATATTTTAGCCGTAATAATATAGCCCAAAGTGGAAAGAGTCCAGATGCGCATGCATGGCTAATCAAGTTGTGGTAGACTCATAAAATGAAATCTTATTAAGGAGGTAATGAAGTATAGATATGTACTATAATACATACATACCTTGAAACATGCTAAAGGGAAGAAGCCAGACATAGTAGATTGCATGTTATATAATCTAGTCTTTAGGAAGTGTCTAGAATACAGTAATAGACATGGGATGTAGATCAGTGATTTCCAAACTACTTGAAGGACAGAGGAATGGGGAATGACTTAAAAAATAAAGGGATTTTTAAATGTATTTTACAGGGCAATTGTTTTAAGAATTACATAGTATATATAGGGTTTATTACTTACTTATTACCAGTTCACCTAAGCACTGTCTTTGAACTCTTTGCTCAAGACTAGCATTCTACCACTTGAGCCACAGTTCCACTTCTGGCTTTTTTTGTGGTTAATTGGAGATAAGAGTCTTACAAACTTTTCTTCCCAAGCTGGCTTTGAACCATGATCCTCAGATCTCAGCCTCCTAAGTAGCTAAGATTACAGGTGTGAGCCACGGAAACTCTACTTAGTAAGTATAGGATAGTATTTAAATATGAAATGTTCCCATGGGTTCATGTTTGAATGGTTAGTCCATCCCTTGCTGCCACAATAGACCCAAATAGCTGGTGTTTTGTGAAGTCTGACCACTCACTCCTATCAGACAAAAAGAGACAAGGTGAAAACCAGAGAAAGGACATTTATTATGTAAGAGCCACAGGAAGATAGTACTTCAGTACATGTTCCGCCATAGTCAGGAATTAAATATGAACTTTAGATTTTATAGAGGAGGCATGAGGAGAGATATACACATAGTTATTAAATAGTCCTGGTCAAAGTATGGCCTGGTTGGTCATTATGTCAGTCCCTGTTTTAAGAAGGGTTCTGGAGAAATTATCACTGATCACTTGTCAGGATGACATTCATGGCCATCTGCTGGGTGGTCTGTCATCAGGAGGCTGTATTTTTCTTTAGAGGTAGTTTCAGTCCCTTGTCATAATGATGTTACCCATCATCGGTCCTGTCTTTCCTGGATTCCAGAGTGATTACAGAGGGACTGTAGAGGAAAAAGTCTGAGCAAAGTCATATGCAAAATGGAAATAGGGATGCTAAGCTTTTCTCCTGCTTTTCAGTTATTCATTCGAGGTCCTAAGAAGTCTCTAACTTACTATTACTCTTCAGCAACATCTGGCTTTGAAGCTCTCTTTACAACTCTGAAACCAAGAGCAAAAGAATTCTTTCTTCCTTAAGTTGTTTCTGCCAGGTGTTTTGTTACCATAGTGAAAAATCTGACCCTCAGTGAGTTTGGTTGTACAACTTAGTGAATATGCAAAAACACCAGTACATTTTTAAAGAGTGAATTTTGTGACATCTGAATTATATCAATACAAAGATGAAAATGTGCTCATTTTATTTCTCAGTCTTTCTTTAACTTATTTGAAGACAATTATATTTCATCATTATACATTGCCTTTAATGGTTCGTCGCAGTGTTTCTGAACTGTGGGCCACACAGATAACTCTTTGGGGTGAGCCAACCTGTGTATTTTCTAGGTTGTTTAATAGTTTTCTCTGCCTTGTAGCCATAAGGGCTTGGTGAACCCCCACCAACATAGTTACTAATCTTTTATATCTCCAGATGCTGCAAAAATGGTGTGTGTGTGTGTGTGTGTGTGTGTGTGTGTGTGTGTGTGTGTAATCAACTTCCTGCTTTGCTCCCATCCCATTCCCACTCAATTCAGTTCAATCTGCAAACTCTCTTTTAGCCCTTGTTCCAGGATACAGGCTATTAGGAGGCTCTTAATTAGGTGGTGACCTGGGCACCATCTGTTCCCTAAGCCTGCTGTAACTCTAGACATGCCTGGTTGTCTGACATCTAGACAGGGCATGGCCACTGCCCATCAGTCCCCAGCACTGTCACCTCTGAGGATGCACAGAAGAAATCGACAAATCCCGGTTCTGCCTCTGACCAGTCTCACTCACAGAAGCACAACATTCCACTTGAGGATCTTACTAAAAAAGTTGGCACTGCTTCTGGTCCCTAATCAGAGGCTAAATATTAATGGCTTGCTGCTGCCAGACACTGCTGTGGGGATGATTACATCCCTGAGAGGTGCCAGGATACAAGTAGCTCAAGTGTGAGGCGTGGACAGGGCTGGTCTTGGATGGGTTTTTATAGTCTGCCACTGTCTACAACTTTGTCCCTAAGTTCCATTCACTGCAGAGGCACATAACTTCACCTCCTGACCCTCCAGGTTTTAAGCAATGCGGGTCTGACTTAGCTTCTGCTCACCTCTCCTTTCTGAACATGGAGACAAGGCATTGATACTAAGCAGCATGTCACAAATTGCTTCATCTTATGTGGTTGAGGCTGTAGTAATTAGTGGCTTTTAAAAAGATTTACTACATTTTGCATTTTGGAAGGAGCTTTTACACAATTATTTGTTCCTCACAGTTTATTTTATGATTTTGCAAATGGAGATGCAGAGAACTCTCATAGATCACAATAGAGAAGCAAAAACCCAGATAGTGTGAGCTCTTAAAGGGCGTACACATCTTAGTATACTTTCTCATCTGACTACACGTTTTTATTTTCCTCTGAGCTTTGATAAAGCCATAATATTGGAAGTGTTCATTCATCCAAAGTCATGGACATTAGAAATAAGAACTAGACTTCCTGAAGCTAAAACCTTAACATGGCTAACCATAGCAATTTTCCTGTCTTGCCCTTTTGTACAAGAGCTCTTGATCAAGAGTTTCTTCTAAGCATGGGGACTGAGAGAGAAGGAAGGATTCATTCCTCTTTCAGAGGTTTCTGTCTGAGGGGAATAAAGAAAATGACCCAGCTCTTTTAGTAGGTAGTCGGTTATTTATGTGAGGAATATAAGGTTGATAACAATGCCTATGTAAGTGGCTGTGGAGCTCAGCTGAGAATATGTCCACGTGAAGAAGAAGGCTTTTCTGGAGCTGAGCTATGAGCGAAGAAAAACCCTAAGAAAATGCCTTTCCTTCTCTTTCTAGTTTTCATCTGGCTGCTGCTAAAGGACACGTGGAATGCCTCAGGGTCATGCTTACGCATGGTGTGGATGTGACTGCCCAAGATACTACCGGTAGGTGGTTTTTAATCTTTGAAACCAACAGGCCAGTGGGAAAGTGTCATAGAGGTATGTTCATTACGACAAATTTGGAGTCTACAGATAGCTTTGAGGAGAACATAATCCCTTTGGATTGGCTAGGTTTGGATGTAGTTTCATTTTGCTCTCCTTTGTGTTTTCTTCTGTGTGTTTAGTCACCTAGAGGCTGTATACTTCTTGTACTTCATATTTGATGATATGATAAGTATAGGTAAGATTACATGTATGGACTAACCAACCAAATTCTTGTTTTTATCAATCACAATGTAGCATGATATAGGGAGCAAATGTTTATATGTCACCCAACTACTTGAGACGAGCTCAGTGGACAGAGGTGTGGTTATTATCTTGACCTTGGCTTCCCAATCTCTTCTCCCTTTCTTTGTACTACATGGTATCCAGATCACCTGGGAGCTACAATGGAGAGAGGCAGGAAGAAAGGAAAAGAATAAAGAGTACACACACACACATACATACATACACACACACACACACACACACACACACACACACGAGAGAGACTGTAGGCTCTTCCCTCTAAGATTCACAGTCAGTTGTGTTGGGGTTAATGGGTATGTATTTTAAAGCTCCTTGGGCTATTATATGAATCCACTATTGACAAATGAAAAGGCAGAGGGAAAGAGGAGGTACAGTAGTCTTACCTTTTACAAGTTCTCTCAGGAGCCCCTGGGGCTGTAACTTTGATACTGCCCCTGCTGGCCATACAAAATGACCAAAGCAATGGCTTTGCATTTCTCTATCATATGTGAAAATCTTCCCTGCCAAAAATTGGCCTCTTAAGTGTAGTCATCTTGGGAGGTCACTTGGGAATTAAAAGAACAATATTTTTGCCCACAAGATGGTTGAACATTTAGAATCATTTTCCATGTCTCTGGCATGCTTTTTCTGCCTAAGTTTGTTTTGTTTTGATTTTGTTTGTGTTTCTTGTTTCTAGATAATCTCAGTGATTGGGAACCTTTATCATTTAAGAATAGGTTTTTATTAGGACACACCATGAACCATTTGAAGTCAAGTCAGGTAAAATGTGTCAAACTGATGAAACCATTTTTGGTCAAAAAATAGGGAGAGAATGAAATAAGAGAATGATTTCCTGAGCAGTTCCACAGAGTTTCAAAAATATTTGAGAAATGCCAATACTAGTAGGAGAATAGTAGGAGAATGAATAGTTTATTAAGTACCTTAAGAGGAATAATAATTTATGTTGCACTAATGAAAGTCTCAGTTCTTTGCCTCAATAGTCCTCATTAGTCCCAAGCAGATTTTGTGATTAGAGAAGGAATTAAAATGGCTCAGTTTGGACAAGCCAGGTGTTTTCACTAAAACTACTGCCATAATACTGAAACCCATTCATCTTCAACTCAAAAACCTATTGAGAACTGGCAGAAAAATCTGTTGCCATAAATCAAACTGCCTGGTAGAGATTTTTGAAGGAAAAAAATGTTTTCTTTCAAAATACACAGACTTTTTTTCTTTTTCTTTTTTCTCACCCCTCTTCCCACCCCTGTGATGCTGCAGAGTCTTAACCTAGAGTCTTGTCCATGCTAGGCAAGTACTTTACCACTTTTGTCACGATCTCATCTCCTTTTTATTCATAATTAAAATCTATAGGCTAGTCAAGTTGGAAGTTTTCTCCTTTTTACACTGGTTTACTGGAGTTAGAAATGAGTATTTCTTAAAGTTATTCTTCTATATGAAATGTTTGAAATTCTGAATATGTTTATGGATGCCTTATGGTCAGTTTTATGAACAGAGCATTATCAACAGGTAAGATGGTAGATATAGTTAAGTACTCTGTCAACTACCGTGTTACATAGGCTTCTGTGAGATCTTAGCAGTGCCGGGCACATGTTAGTGCTCACTGCATTTGGCTGTTATGTTCAGCCATGCTGGTTTTTTTCTCTCTTACACATTAGGCTATTGAAAAGCTTCAGATCTTGGCATCAAAACTGATACCTAGGCTTTTTTGATTGTTTGTTTTTATACTCTATAGTAGCAGATAGAATTAAATGAATAGAGAAGCATTATCAGAAGCTGGAAGATGACCAGTCTTCTCTTTATTATCAATACTTTTCTGAAGCATTAGTTTTCAGGTTTCCTTGGTTAAGAAGCATATACATTGGATACTTTGTGACTGCATCTAACATTAGAATTTCATTTTTCTCAAAAGAAAGTCCAACATTATGCTTATACCATGTGGACCCTGGCTCTTCTTTGTGGTGGGTTTGAGGATGGTTTTTTTTGGTTCCAGTAGCCTAGGCTGTCTGCACCCTAGCAACATGGGAAAGAGCAGAAGCACCTATACCCCTGCACACAGAGATCTACTCCATTTCCTGTGGTGCTTCACGGACTGTGGCTGTATCGTATTGGGAAACAAGAAAGTTCTGGGCAATAAAGTGTCTAGTTAAAAATCAAAGAGGTATCTGCTGTAGAAGGAGGTAAAAACAGAGTGAAAGAGGATCTGGAGATTCTGTCACATTCACCTACCTTAAATTTTCTCCTACCCCCTTTGTGCTCCTGATTTTCCTAATAAACATTATAAGACTTATAAAGAAGACAGAGTGGGAAATTGAGGTATGAAGACATCACATACAGTGAGCCTTCTTCTCTAGTGTCTTCAGTTGGTAGGTTAGACTTCTTGACTTCTGGGTGGCTCTTCTGTTCAATTACATTCCTAATCCTACTCAAATCTGAAACTGTGTGAAGATTTGAAAGATAACGTTTAGCTTAAAACTCAGGCAGAGAATGTGTCATTGTCCAGTTTAGCAGCAAGTTATAACCAATAAATGTAGTTCACATAGTAATTTAGAATAAAGGAAAACTGGAAAAGATTGTATGATTTTTAGCAGTTGACTTTGTATGAATCCATGAACCCATGTGTATGGGGAGGTCACAAACATGCCATCTCTCTCTGTCTCTGTCTCTGTCTCTCTCTGTCTCTGTCTCTCTCTCATACACACACACACACACACACATGCATGCATGCACATGCTCCTTGATTCTGTGTGACATACCATAACAATGTATATTTGATTTAAAAAATGGGAGTAAGGGATAATTTCATAATTCTGATGTTGAGTTTTAAGGACATGTTGTAAAATCTGATCTTCTATCTCAGGAATACAACAAGGTGAATGTGCTTTGGTGATAAAAAAAATTTGGACTAAATATGAGGATTTCTAAGCATAATGCAATTGTAAGAATATTTAAAATTGTAATATAAATTTACGCTTTTATAACTTAAATGTTTCCTCCGTTCTGAAACCCTGATTTTTAAAAGGCAGTATCTTAAGGCATAGAATCTAGTTGAATATCATTTATCTTATTTCTGAGTATCTCTATGTTATGACTAGAAACTGATTTCTCAGGATTTGACTTTTTGATATAAGTTAGCCATATGTGTATATCTGATGACTTTCTCAGTCATAAAATGTTGAGGCATGCACTGGATAAGTTTGTGCTCAGCCTTGTCAAACATCCTTCTATCATATTAGGGCTCATATGTTTTCCAGCAACCTTAAGCATTGAATAAATGGCCATTGAGTTACATTAGGGAGAATGTATTCTATGGCTGGGGTAGCTGAGCTACCTGCAGTCTAGTACTTAAGAGTTATAAATAGTATTGCTCTTTTCAATTGTAGACAGAATTCTGCAGGAGTGCACTTGAATTATGGTTGCCTTTTTTTTTTGTCTGCCGGGAAATTACTTCCTGATATTCCAGACAGATCTATAACTATGTTAGAGCCAGACCCATGCACTATTTCCTTGCAGTTCAGAACCTTGGGGTTCTGTCACTAAATCAGTATCTGCTGTCCAGGAAAAATTTGCATTTGGAAAGACAGTTTTATTTTAATGTTAGCAATGAAAAACATTTCATTTTAGTGTAGTATTGTATCCAAGGAATAATTTGTCATTTTGATTTTTGAGATTATTTTAAATTACAAAAAAAAAATACTTTCAGGCAGCTAATTAAGAGAAAACATCACAGAACTAGGGAATGAAAGAACTTTTGTTTCTCTAGAAACCAAGCACTTGCTTCCAGGTCTGACTAGAACACGAAGTGAAAGGAAAGTCTGTTCCTTAGTTATATCCATGTCCTACCATGTTAGCTTTGGAGAGCTATGCCTTTGTCAAATGGATTTTGTTTGTGTGGAACAGCTTTTGTTCACAGCATCATCCAAAGTTAATACACTGCATACACAACATAAACATTGTCCAAGTTACAATCAGGATGTATTCCAGAAGTTCATTTGTGAGGCATTTGTTTAAAATTCAGAATGTGCTTATCCTTAGACACAGTGGTATAAATGATGATTGGAGAGGCCAAGCTAGCCCACCAAAGCCTAGTTAATGCACAGTATAACTAGACTTAAACTTTTATGATTTAGTCATCCTGGAAGGGAGTAGGGGTTCTATAAAAGAGGGGAAGAGGAAGAAAAGATCTTTGTTTTTCTAATGCTGAGAGTCTCTTTTCGCTCATTTTTCCTTAATCTTCCCCAGCTCTTCTGGGAGATGTAGAGGGTTTTCTTCTCATTCTCCTCTCCCCTCACTCCGTACCACCCCGAAGCAAGGCAGTTTTTCTTTTTTTGGGGGGGTCCAGTCGTGGGGCCTGAACTCTGGCCTGGGCGCTGTCCCTCAGCTCTTCAGCTCAAGGCTAGCACTCTACCACTTGAGCCACATTGCCACTTCCAGCTTTTTTCTTATGTGGTGCTGAGGAATAGAACCCAGGGCCTCATGCATGCAAGGCAAGTGCTCTACCACTGAGTTACCTTCCCAGCCCCAAGGCAGTTTTTCTTATACGCTCTTAACTTCTCAGTGTATCAGTCTCAGAATGAAAGGAAGACTCTTTTGGCCTTACACATGCTTTTGTGTAGCTCACCATGATCCTGTGACCCTCTGATCTTAAATATAGTATTTCCTAGCTGTATGATTCTATAATTAGTAAGTTTTTGTTAGTATTATAAAGTGAAGACTTAACTACAAAAGAGAATCATATATTGAAACTGAGATATAAAATAAGTTACTCCTCTCAACTAGGGTTCTGAACCAGATGTGATTTTGTTCCCAAAGGACATTTGATGATTTTTATTTTTGATGGTCCTGGGGCTTGAACTCAGGGCCTGGGCACTGTCCCTGGGCTTCTTTTGTTCTTTTGCTCAAGCCTAGAGTCTACCATTGAGCCACAGCACCACTTCTGGCCTTTTCTGTGTATGTGGTACCGAGGAATTGAACCCAGGGCTTCATACATGTTAGGCAAGCACTCTACCACTGAGCCACTTTCTCAGCCTGGTGATGAGATTTTGGGGGGGGGGGGGCGGGGGTCCAGTCTTGGGGCCTGGACGCTGTCCCTTAGCTCTTCAGCTCAAGGCTAGCATTCTACCACTTGAGCCACAGCGCCACTTCGGGCTTTTTGCTTATGTGATGCTGAGGAATCGAACCCAGGTTCTCATGCATGCAAAGCAAGCGCTCTACCACTGAGCCACCTTCCCAGTCCCGAGATTTTTGATGGTTATAACTAGACATCTACTGGAGAAGACATGTGGGCAGCTTTAACCTCCTATAATTCACAGGAGAGCCACTCAGCAATGACCCAGTATCAGTAGCCCTGAGGTTGAGAAACCATACTTGGAGCATGTCCCAAAGTAAGAGTTACTTATTTACATTTAACCAAACTATCCCCAAGGTGACATGATAGTTTTGATTAAATGATTTGGGAAATGTAAGATTTTCCTAGATATATTGGGTTGGCTCAGTTTAACTCAAAATTCACCAAAACTGGAATTTTTCATGGAGAGGCCAAGAAAGGCTTTGTTCAGAAGGCCGTGTATCAGTGGCATCCGAAGGCAGTGAGAGAACAAGTGGAGACAGGGTAAACTTAGAGTAGTTGCAGGAGGCCCCAGCATGGGCATCTTCTACCCCTTCGGCTTCCGCTGAACCTTTCTTCCTTGCAAGTTCTGTAGGCCCAATTGTCAGCAGGGAAGTTGGGTAAAACATTAGGATTTCTTGTAGTTATCTGACTATAGAAATACCAGAGACTCATGTGGAGTCACAAAGGGAACTTTAACTATGGTTACTTGATTGCTGTGCTGCTGTTCTTCCTCGTGTTTTGAATATCTACAAACAGAGTGGTTTCCTTTTGGGGCTGGAGTACAAGGGCTGGAGGGGTCAGAAATAGGGACAGAAGTATGTGGACTTCTGTATGTTCCCTACTATCTTGTGAGCTGGCAGTTGTGGGGCTCTTGGTCAGCAGTGTTTTAACAGTGGTGTGACTTGTAGCCAGGGGATGTTTGTCACACATGTTGACAGCTGAGAGCAGAACTGCCAGGCCCCATGTCCTGAGTCTACCACAAGTCTCACCCCCAGAGATTGCAGCCTCTGATCGTTCCCCTGGTGGGTAGGATTGCTGTCTTTTCGCTTTCCTTGCACTAAGAAAACAAGACCTTGATCTCCACAAGAACAACTGCTATCTTTTCAAGTAGCAGTTTATTTTCTCATGGCTGTCTTTACTGCAGAGCTGAGAAAGTGATGGGTCAAGTGGGAGAAGTATGGTCTTTTCTGAAACCCTGACCCTCCCGCTTTTATTCCATTCAGGACACAGCGCTTTACACCTTGCAGCCAAGAATGGTCATCCTGAATGCATCAAGAAACTCCTTCAGGTAAAGCAGTGGCAACTTAAATTTATACATGTGTTATTTTTAAAATTTAAAGGTAGCTTCATCTATAAAAGAAGAAATAACTGGGGCTGGGAAGGTGGCTCAGTGGTAGAGCAGCTTGCCTTGCATGCTCGAGGCCCTGGGTTCGATTCCTCAGCACCACATAAGCAAAGAATAAAAAGCCAGAAGTGGCGCTGTGGCTCAAGTGGTAGAGCGCTAGCCTTGAGCTGAAGAGCTGAGGGACAGCGGCCAGGCCCAGAGTTCAGGCCCCACGACCGGACCCCCCCCCCCCCAAAAAAAAAAAGAAGAAATAACTCTCTCCACATACTTTAAAAAAAAATGCTATCCACATCCCGGGTTTGCTGAGTATCCTTATTACTAAAATGATACCCAAAGGCAAGATTATTTCCATATCAAGTCCATTGGCAGGAGAATCCTCATCAAAATTTGGAGTGAGGCCAGGCATGCTGGCCTGTAATCCTAGCGACTTGGAAGTCAGGGATGGGGGTTGGGGAGTGGTTTAATCACCGTTTGAGGCAGCCTGGACATAAAAATTCATTAGACTTTTAATCAGTGGCAGGGTGTGGTGGTGTATGCCTGTCATCCCAAGCAACATGGAGAAGCTGAAGTAGGAGGATTGGAGCCCAGGCCCACCTCGCATAAAATAACCAACATAAATAGAGCCTAAGGTGTGGCTCAAGTGGTAGAACTTCTGTCCAAATAAGCACAAGGCCCAAAGTTCAATTCCCAGCACTGCCCATTAATCCTCCCTCCCCCCCCCCCCCCCCAAATTGGAGTGACACTTGAAATGACTCATGCCTGGCCAGAAGTTAGCAAAACTCCTCTTTCAACAAATAAACTAGACAAGCTCATGTCTATAATTTCAGCTACACAGGAGGTATAGGTAGGAGGATTTGTTTTGTCCTTTAGTAAAAATGTAAGACCCTATCTGAGGCATGGCTCAAGAGGCAGAGTGTTTGCCAGCACATGTGAGGCCCTGAGCTCAAATATGAAAATATGAGTAACAAAGACACACAGATACACACACAAATTAGTGTATGTCTTCCTAGTACTTTCCCTTCCCCCCTTTTATTTAATTTTTACTTCTTTTCTGAAGGACTTGTATCCTCTATGTAGTTAGCTTTTGCAGAATCTTTTCTCAGTGTTGGAAAATCCATTCCACAGTGGATCTCCAGTGTGCTAGCATTTGCTTTCAGTAAATGCTTAATAGAAAGCAGCTCTTCCAGCGTAAAGTTTCAGCATTATTTCCTTGTATGCAACTTGATGAGCTTTTTTAGTTTTACTTCTTGGTTCCTGTAAAAGTGCTTGGTTTTATTCTTCTTTATAATTTTGAATGAGCTCCCTGGTTTGATAAACTTGCCAGGAAGTTTATAATGATTCCCTCCTAAGGTAATGACTTCCCTAAGTTTATAAAGATGCAGTTTTCATCACCCTCCATAGCCATGCTACAGTACTGTCCAGCTGTTGCCAGTCAAAATGCAAGCTGGCTGTTTTCAGGAACAGTACCCAAGCAATAAAGTCCGTGTTTAGAGTACTGTCTGTTCTGTCAAGCTGTTGTCTTGGCCTTCGCCAGCACTGCTGGGGACCCAGCATCTTGTTTTCATTTGGCTTTTGAAAGTCGAATGCAGAAATGTGGTCACATTCTTTAGCTTGTCCCACTCCGTTGATCACAGCTTCATGTCTTGCATTACACGATGCACTGCCAGTTCCAAGAATGGTTAACCTTCACAGGTCTTCCAAGCAAAACTCAAGAAAAATAGATCACTGTCTATGATACTACATTCAGAGGCTTCCCAGTGAAGACAGTTAACAGAGCTCTGCTTACCTGCTTCCTTCAGTCACAGACTTGGAATAAATACAAATCACTCCTTTCTTGCTCAAATAAGATGCAGTGCCATCTACACCCTCAGGTTTATCTCCATTTTTGTTTGTTTGTTTGTTTGTTCTTTATTTTGTGTGTGTGTGTTTTCAATCTCTATTCCCATCCTGGCTTGGCTGTTCAGACCTTGCATCTGGCTCTGATTTTAAGGAAGATTTAACCTGACAAGCCTGGAAGTCTTTGTGGGCTAGGACCAGATATTCTAGCCTCTAATGTAATTTTATATCTGGTTATGCAAATGGATTGGTTTTTCTCTGGAATCTTTGAAGCCTTTAAACAGTTCCTTGTGCTGTTCTAAAATTAGGCCAACGCTTGGTAAGTAGTAACTCGATCTCCATTCTTCTCACCACTAAAGGGCAGGCATTTCACTCTCAGGTAGCCGGTTCTTACCTCTCTGGCTTATAAGTTGTTGGAGCAAGTTCTTCTTTCTGGATAGTTGTTAAAAAGCTCTGTTTTTGATGTCTTCCCATTGGGATACTTACCCTGGGTGCCAGGCCTCTCTCTCCAGTCATCTGTTTTCCCTTTTGTCTGTGTAGCCTTCGCTGTCTGTAATGTAGACCCACTGACTCCTGCTCTGTTCATCCTTCCACCCTCTGCCTTTACTGATCTCTTTGGACTCTTTAGGCCTTTGCTCTTTCTGACTGCTGGAGACAGATCCTCTCTCTACTGCCTACCATTTTCAAGTTGTACCCACAAGGCAGTGAACACAAATGGAGCTTCGTGGAATTCCGCAAATTCACACCGACTCTTCTCCTGAGTGCCAGTTAGTCCCACCAACATTTTCATCTCTTGTGTTTCCTTGTCACCATGCATGACTTTCAGAATTGAGTATATACTGGCCAATTGAGCACTGTATCTCTATCCCGGTGGAATTCTGTGTCTCTAACAATGACTTAATTATACATTACAAATGGGATAGGACTAAGAAGGAAAACAGGGCTGAGAAGTGGCAGTGCAGGGAAGGCCAGATGGAGGAGGTAATATGTAAGCCATGATGCTAGCACAGCAGGTATCAAAGGGAACATTCCAAGCAGACAGAGGAGCATGTACAAAGGGTGTGGACCAGAAGCCAGTAGGATCATGCATGAATCATGCAAGGCAAGGCTGCTGCCCACAGGTGACATGTGTTACATTTGAAGAAGAATGTGGGCTCTTCTATTCACTGTGAGCTTCTTTGTGTCTCAGTTTCCTCATCTAAGAATAATAAAAGTATCTACATTGGATTGTTAGGAGACTGAAAGCCACTCTGGCACATGCTAGCTAATACACAATACTCACTGTTAAACTCCATGGTAGGGAGTCAGTTTAATTTGTAGATTTCAGGATGATAGTTGAAGAGATACATTAAGGAGGAAGAAAGTTTCCAGGAAGAACAATGGAGAACCCTCTGGACTGAGGTCAGGAGTGAAGGAGAGGCAAAGAAACATAGACTTTTCAGGGCTACTCTCCTCACCCCTCCATTCTATCTCCTCTCCTCATCTTCTCTTCCTCTTCTCTTTTTGTTGCTTGTCCTTTTTTAGGGGAGTGGTAAGGGGTGTTGGTACTGAGGCTTGAACTCAAAGCCTGGGCATTACTCCTTAGGTTTTTCATTCCAGGCTAGGGAGTGCTCTACCACTTGAGCTTCACTTTTGGCTTTTTGGTGGTTAATTGGAGATAAGAGTCTCATGGACCTTCCTGCCATGATTGGGTCAACTTCTAACTATGATCTTCAGATCTCAGCCTCCCAAGAAGCTAGGAAGTACAGGCCATGGAAGCTCAGTACGTTTTTTGGTTTTGGTTTTGGTTTTTTTTCTGGTGCTGGTTTCTTGGCCTGAACTCAGCCTTGTAATCCTGCTTGGCTTTCTTGCTGACAGCTGGTGTTATCATGCCTTGTCCAGTTAGCTAATTGGAGATGGATCTTGTAGAGGAGATGGATCTTGTAGACTTTTCTGCCTGGGCTGGTTTTGATCCATTATCCTCTAGGTCTTTGTCTTCTGAGTAGCCAGGATTTTAGGAATGAGCCATATATCGTTGATTCTTGAGACATCCCAGAGCATCTAATTAGCTAGGGTTTATCCAATAATGATGGACTCCTGAGATAAGGGAGGTATGGACAGCCAAAACAGCCAATGGGGTGACAGCTTGTTTGTCTCATGATTATTTACCCATGGGTCTCTTTCCCTCAAGAGCATAGCAATTAGAACATGGCGGTTGGACTTAATTATGTGTTTCCTGTTAAATTACTTCATAATTTGCAATAAAAAATGAACGAAATAGAATTTGTGCAGGTACTTTAATATATGTGCTTTTACCTTCTAGTCCAAATGCCCAGCTGAAAATGTTGATAGCTGTGGGAAAACCGCTTTACATTATGCAGGTAATTACCTTGCATTCTCTCATTTGTCTTCTTCCATGAGAAATGAATATTTCGTTTTCTTTATTTAAGCCATTCAGTTTACAGGAGTCTTTCTGGGGTTGATTTCTGTCATTACCCTTAGATGTTCCCATTTTACTCCATTTATAAAACATGCAGAGTTTTATCAAGGAGCATACCTACAATTCATTAATTGCCTGTAGGCAATCAGTAAAAGTTACCATGGTAAGGGTATGGCTCATGGAGGGACATGTATTTTACATGCAAGAGGTCATACATACACATGCATACACACACACACACACACACACACACACACATTTTAGCTGTGTTTGAAGTTTCTTTTTAAGGATTAGTCAAAAGCACTTGTACATTCCAGATAATGTGTGATGCATTTGGGGCATCATGATGAACTTCTTATATATTTATAGGCCTCTTGCTTTGCTATCTGACACAAAACTCCAACAGACAAATGTTGACACTGCACTCTAGGACTTTGGTTACTAGTTGGGGAAAAGCTAAATCCTATGAAAAGCTAAGCCAAATGTTTGCCTGAAGGCAACTGGCAGCCAGTGGCTGTAGTTGTGAATAACACTGAAATTAAGCAGTGTTTTCCAGTGTCTTATACTTAGCCTTGCTAGTGCTGTTTCTTTTCAGTGCATCTTCAGTGAGTGTATGCTGTGTGGGCAGGCTATGAACTTTTCCTTCCTAAAACTGTGTGATGCCCTGGTTGTGACGAAAGCTTTGTGACTGGAGTGGTGTTTGTGTTTCCTTTCTCAGCTGCGCAGGGCTGCCTTCAGGCTGTGCAGGTCCTCTGTGAGCACAAGAGCCCTATAAACCTCAAGGACTTGGTAAGTGCTAGATGGGCACTAGAAGGAGAAATGGACACTGAGCACTGTAGACAACTTGTGAGAGTCACTAAGACTTTAGTCACCTAAGTAACTGGCAAAATTCCTAGATTCTCTTTCTGTCACATGGTTTCATGTTTTTATTAATCCTCATTGGTCACTAAAATATTTTATAGGAACTTCTTATACATTTCTAAGGACTACATATATTCTGTCATCAACCATGATAGGAATAAAAACCTCTTGATTTGTAAAAATAAATAAGTGTAAATAGAAAAGCTGTTGTTTTCCTTCTATACCCCATGTGATAATTTTGAATATTTTCTGGTTAATCTTGGATATTTTCAGGGTCCAGGTACTGTCCCTGAGCTCTTTCAGTAAGGCTAGTGCTCTGCCTTCAGTAAAGTTCCACTTCTGGTTTTCTGGTGGTTAATTGGAGATGAATTTCACAGACTTTCTTGCTGGGCTAGCTTTGAACCTCTAGATCCTGAGTAGCTAGGATGACAGGCTTGAGCCACCAGCGCCTGGCTAGAAATTCTTACCTAAAATTTATGTTCTTCCAAGTACTCTCTCATTAAATATTCTGTATTAAACGGTTTATATTCTTAATCTACCTGACATTTTGTATGTCAGGATCTAATTTTCATTCCCCCCAAAGAGATTTTTAACTGTCATGTTCTGTTGAATCAATTAATTTCTTTTTATCCATTACTTTATCATGTCATGTGTTACTAATAGACTCTTGTAGTATGTTTTAATATCTAGTACGATTATGAAAAGGTATGTGTGCATCCTGGAAAGAGAAAGGTAGAATGGTGTGATGAGTCCATTATTTCCAGCATGTTGTCTTAGTACACATGATATACTTGCCTTCAGCCTGGACATACTTTCTCCATAACTATTCAGATTTTGTGAGGGCTAAAAAAGCAAACAGCCTAAGAGGCTGAGACTTGTAGGGAAAGATAAATTTGTAGGAAAAGTAAAGAGTTGTGCTAAGATGTAATAGTGGCTCTAAGGGACACAGTGTATCATGATGAGTTAAATCTAAGACCAGCAGTGTAAGATAGATAGCAGGAGGATGTGGGAAGAACAGGCCTTTGTAATTCTGCTACTTGGTATTGGAGTTAAAATCTAAATGTGAGCTTGTCTCCTAGGATGGGAATATACCACTGCTTCTTGCAGTACAAAATGGCCACAGTGAAGTCTGTCGTTTTCTCCTGGATCATGGAGCAGATGTCAATTCCAGGGACAAAAATGGAAGGTACTCAAGTAGAAAGAAATCATATCACCTCAGAGACTCATATTCTATTTTCTGTCTTATCACAGCTGTATTTTGGATGATATCAAGTATTTTCAACCTTTCTCCTTTTTAATTTTCTACCTTTATTAGTAATCAAGTTTGTTTCAACTTAAAAGCAATTTCTGCCAAACCTCTATGACATCATGTTTGAATGACTCTGATAGTACTCTTGAATAATTGCAGTGAGGGTCTGGGAAGGTCGCTCAGTGGTAGAGTGCTTGCCTTGCATGCATGAGGCCCTGGGTTCGATTCCTCAGCACCAATATAAGCAGAAAAAGCCGGAAGTGGGTGCTGTGGCCCAAGTGGTAGAGCACTAGCCTTGAGCTGAAGAGCTGAGGGACAGCGTCCAGGCCCAGAGTTCAGGCCCCAAGACCGACCCCCCCCCCTCCCAAAAAAAAAAAAAACAGTGCAGTGAGTGAACCACTTCCCATGACTTTCATGCAAACCAAAATAGAAATGAACTATTGGTTCCTTTTAAAAAATCTCTTAACAATGTTTAAGCTCTTTAAAATACTTGAGGAGAAAGAAGGTTTAAGATATGTGCCAGTTACAAGAATTGCCATCATTCTATATCAGATATTTTGGAAGATTGTGTCTATGTAATTGTTATGATTCAATATTTTGATATATATAACTTGAAGCTTTAAAAGCAGCAGCCACTACTTCTTGATGGCATTTCATTTTGAATTCTTGGGAAGATTAAATGTAGTAAAGGTTTAACTGCACTTAATCTTTTTTTTCCCATCTCTAGGCAAATGATTTCCTAGGAAAGAGTTTTCATAGTGGGTTTTCAGTACTGATTCTTATGTCTTCTTTTTTCTTTAGGACTGCTCTCATGCTGGCTTGTGAGATTGGCAGCTCACACACTGTGGAAGCCTTAATTAAAAAGGGTGCAGACCTAAACCTTGTAGATTCTCTTGGACACAATGCCTTACATTATTCCAAACTCTCAGAAAATGCAGGAATTCAAAGCCTTCTATTATCAAAAATCTCTCAGGATGCTGGTATGTGAAAGAAAATAGCCAATGTTGTTTTAAATTTTTATGCACTCCATTTTCCCCAAAGGATAAAGGAATGTATGCAATATGATATGCTTTATTATTCTTTTAGACATATCCTTGAGGAAAAATGAAGTGTTAAGTGGTGTGTGTGTGTGTGTGTGTGTGTGTGTGTGTGTGTGTGTGTGTGTGTGTGTGTGTGTGTGTGTGTGTGTGTGTGTGTGTGTGTGTGTGTGTCCATGTCCCTGTATCCCTGTGTCCACCCAAAGTAGATAAGAGATATGAGTCATAATGGTTCTTATAGTTCTTTTGTCACTTTTTCTTCTTTAGATTTAAAGACCCCAGTGAAACCAAAGCAGGTATTTATGTTAGGGGATGGTGATTGTTTGTTTGTTTTAATCTTTTGTTGTGGGAATTTGAAAATGTTCAGATCTAACTGTATTTCATTAGTAACATGATACATGTACTAATGTCAAAAAACTTAAGACTCAAATATCCTTGGCATACATAATCCATAGTTATAAGGCGACAAATATTTTCTTAATGATTTATTTCCAAAGCATGTAACTAGAAACTTACTACTTATATATTTTTATCCTTTTCTGAAATATACTAATAATTCCTACCTGTGTGAAAAACATTTGATAAGATTTAAACTCTGAGATTGAATAACAATATTTTAATTACTGGTAATATCACAAAGACGACAGACCTGTAACCATAAAAATTTTATCTAGGAAATGGGCTTCCCTTTTAGGTTTACATTTTTTTAAGGAATAAACTGCATTGTGTTAAGATGGAAAGCTGAATATATTCTAAGTTATGATAGACACCTCCTTATGCTCTACTTCCCTAGTCCTCTATATCTACTTAATCTGATTTTATCCTATTTATCTTCTTGCTATGAAAATATGGGCTGCTAAGAGAGAGTGTAGAGCATGCATATTATTTTTTTGTTGGTAACAGAGTTCAGATTTTCACAAAGTAAAAAATGCATGAACTGTTGAGGTTTTTCTCATTTGTTTGATGAAGCTACTTGCTGAGACTTTACTAACCTAACTAACCCACCTCCGTTCTTGGACTGTATAACTTTCAGCATGATCAAGTCTCTAAAATAAGCTCAGAAAGAAGTGGAACTCCAAAAAAACGCAAAGCTCCACCACCTCCTATCAGTCCTACCCAGGTAAAAACAAAAGCAAGCTAACGATCAACCGGCATATAACAAGGCTGTCGTTTTGTGTTTAAGCCAAAACAAAATGTTTTCAACTGGCCCTTCAGTACACACTTAAAATTTCCTGTAATACTTTTAAATTATAAATGGTGGGGTTGGGGATGCAGTTCAATGGTAGAACGCTTGCCTAGCAATGTAAGAGGCCCAGGAATAGATCCCAGGCACTACAAACAAACGAAAAAGCAAATTTACAAATTGCTTTAGAATTTTATTAGGATGGAAATAATGTGTGTGTGTTTAATCTCTTCTAAAACCGTAGAATCGCGCAGTTTATATTTTTTAAAGCCTCATGGAAATATCTCAAGATCTTAAGACAGGCATGCTTCTCTTAAGATAATAAGCTCAGGACCAGTATTAGGTCCTCATAGTAACAGTTCTAGTAAGGGGCAGGGGGAGGGAGAGGAGAGGTAGTTAAGATGAAAATATACTTTAGTTGGTTATTTAAAACATGGCTAAAATGTATTTGCCTCTCTAATTACATTTATGATCAGCTAGTAGTAAAACTAGTTTTTACTTCTGAGCTTGTAGTAGAAAAGGAAACTCAGAAATATAAGGTAGCAAGTTTAAGCAGATTAGGATTTATTTTTATGAAAAACATAGGTCATAGGGAAAGAATCCATTTTTAAGTAGTAGACAGGAATGTCTCATCTGATAATTTTAAGAACATGTTAAATATTCTCAACCTGCAAGAGAAATTTTATAGATTTAAAAATCGTTAATATAGGAATAAGTTTACTTAGTTATACTCTGCAAACTTTCAAAAATATTTGAAGTAGCTGGAAAGACTTGAAGATGTTTACCCAGAATTTATTAAGCAAAGAACACTTATTGTTAGTTTAACAGCAAAGTTCATACTGTTGGTTTGTCAGCCGTGGAAAGTAAAAGTTTGAAATTAGGTTCTTAACTAGCAATTTCATTTTGTTTTTGTTTTTTAAGTTGAGTGATGTGTCTTCTCCAAGATCAATAACTTCCACACCACTTTCTGGAAAAGAATCAGTGTTTTTTACTGAAGTGCCATTCAAGGTATTTCTTTTCTGTGTTTAGTTTTGTTACTGTATTTTAAGATTTGTAATAGGCTTGCTTAGAATTGCACAAAGCTGGAGAAATGCATACTTCCAAATCATTGGTTTATAACCTTTTCACCATGAAGGACTCTTGGATTATTTTTCCTGGTATGGGTACCATGAGACAATAATATAGAAAAGAAATCATAGTTACTAACAAGAATTGGCTGCCTTTTCATACAAAGAGACAAACACCATTTAGATGGAATCTAAAATACTTGAACTCATAGAAGCAGAGAGTAGAATGTCTCACTCTAGGGGTAGGAGTGGAAAGGTATGAGCCAAGTAAAAGAAATACCTCAAGGAATAAATTCAAAAAGCATATTGTAAACATAGTCACTAGTTTATAACAATTTAAGTGGTCTACTCACAGAAAATGATAATTGTATGAGATAAAAACTAAGCTCAGGGGGCTGGGAAGGTGGCTCAGTGGTAGAGCACTTGCCTTGCATGCCTGAGGCCCTGGGTTCGATTCCTCAGCACCACATAAGCAAAAAGAAAAAAAGCCGGAAGTGGCGCTGTGATTCAAGTGGTAGAGTGCTAACCTTGAGCTGAACAGCTGAGGGACAGCGCCCAGGCCCGGACCCCCCCAAAAAAACACTAAGCTCAGTTTAGCCATTGTACATTATGTATGTATTTCAGAACATCGTGATATACATAATATATACAGTTTTATATAATGGAATATTTCTCAGCTATAAAAGGGAATGAATGAACTGTGTGAAGTACAAGCATCATCATGGAAGTATCTGAAAATCATATGAAGAATAAAACAAGACAGCTGCAAAAATTTCCTTGTAAGACATTCCCCTACAGCAGCTTTAGAAAAGGAGAACAATGGAAAACCACTCAAATGTATGCTGTAGAACATTGTCTGGAGATTCTGATTATTTGTACTAAAGTGACAAAAAGAAAAAAAAAAATCAAAATTAAAAAATCAAAATCACTAGAAACAAAAAAAACTACTGACATGTGACATGATTATTTGTGTAGAAAATTCTAAGAAAGCAGCCACCATGGTAAGAATAAGTTGATTTAGGATGATAGAAGGACACAGGGTCAATACAGAAGTATAAAATTAAATATGAAAAATATGCCATTCAAAAATAAAAACAAGAAGCCTAAGTATTGATTGGAGAAATGTATGTACAATCTTTAGCCTGAAATTGACAAAATATCAATAATAAAAATTATAGAGGATGTTAATATTTTAAAAAAGAAAGAAAGAAAAGGAGAATAATTGCTGTCTGTTACTGGGGAGTCAAGGGCAGGGGCTGACTATAACAAGGCAGGAGGAAATGCATTTTCCTGAACATAGTCTGTATCTGGATTACAGGGCCCCCTATGGATATGCATGTGTCAGAACCTTTAAACTAAAGCTGGGATGTAGTTCAATGGCAAAGAGCTTGTCTAGCACCCGCAACATCCCTGGTTCGATTACCAGTACAAAAAAAAAAAAAAAAAGAACCTCCAAATAGCAAATTTAGAACAGTTTATTGACTTGGGGGAAAAAACTAAGTACTTGGAAAAATAAGAAAGAATAAAGAAAGGGCAATTTTTTTGTAAAGATAAGCATGTGCCAAACTAAGCTGCTTAATTTCTAACATTAAGGATTTTACAAAAGTTCCTTTCAGCACAGTGATCTCTTATCATTGTTTGTGGCTCATCTAGATGAAACACAGTCATTTCTGCCAAGTTATGTTGTAAAATGAGAATCTTGAAATGAGGGTCTGCCTTTGAAGTTCTAAGGTTTCTTTTTGTAACATTAACAGATATTCATGGACAGAGGTAAGCTGTAGAGATAGGAGATAGATATGCAGGGTTAGGGGAATGATTTGGAAGATCAGTTGTCAATCTAAGACCACCCAAATTTTTATTCACTTATAAAATTGTAGTTACCTTCCTCCCATACAGGACTTATTTATTACCATTTCTCTTAGAAAAATTAGTAACAATATATTAACAGAAGATAATTCTAAAAATAATGAAGCTAAAAATAGCCACTTTATATTTTTAAATGTATGGGCCAGATAAATAGAACTGTCTGAGTTCATTATCAAAGTTATTTTCTTCCTCAGATTTAAGATCAGTAAAGGAGCCTGTTATATAAGATTGTTATAATTTAAATATATTTGTACTGTACTCCCTAAATGACATTTCTGAAACATTCTGAAACATTCCTGAAGCATTTACTATTGTCTGCAGCTTCTGAAGGTTCAGAAATTATATCTTAGTAGGTAATTTTCACTTTAGTTCATTTTTGCTTTTAAATGTCTTTTTGCTTTGGAACTTTCTTATTGTTTTTCTAATAGCTCTGCTGGCTTTAAACTCAAAGAGAAAAATCTGTTTGATGTTTTGGTGTAATCTTCTGCATGTAGAAGCATTCTTTTAAGTCATTTTTGTGTTTCTGCAGGCTGAGATTAGTTCTATCCAAGAAAACAAAGAAAGACTCAGTGACAGTACTACAGGTAAGATAAAGAAGAATCTGATTTTGTTCCTTGGATCATATTGTGTTTACACTATGTCCATAGAACAAGAACAGAGGCCCGCCCGGTCCTCCAGGCAGGGAGCTGGTCAGACCCAGCCTGCCACTTGTCAGAGTGACCAATGGACAAGCAGCACTGTACTGTAAAGATCTGAACATGGACTTTAAAGTGTCTCTGAGTTTAGATGTAAAAAAATAATACCAATACATTTCTATATTCATTTTTCTCTAAGTAAATGTTAGCATTTCCTTTTTATAAAGATTGACAAAAAATATAATACTTATAATAAGACCAGGGAAACAATTCACAAACAATTTCTGATACCCTTACTGTTTTGCAGATATGTTGAAATGACATTCATAGTATCTCCACTGTAAATTAATGGCATTGGTTGGACCTGCATTTTTATTTTGATATTTATCTTGATATCTTTAGACTACCACAGCCTGTGTATTTTATGCATTTAAAAATGACTGTTCTGAGCAGCATCTACATGCTTTAAACTGTCACTAACAGCAGATAGTGATAAGAGCAAATCATAGCAGAAAAATAAAAGGAACCTGTACCTTGGTCTAAACAAGGTCTAACCATGCCATCACAGTCTAATTGAGGTATAAGTTTATGCAAAGATAGTGTTTGTGAAACCATAGACAATCATATTGTCTTTACCAAAATCAGGTTTGATTCATTCTATCTTCTGAAAGTTTCTACTAAGATCCATGAGTTCATAGGCTACATAGAAAGTCCAGATCTCAAAAAAAAAAAAGAGAAATAGAAAAAAATGTTTAGAAAGAAAAAGGACCCTCTTAAAGAACAGATTTCTAGTGATGTATTATATTTCTAAGAATGTAGTACCGTAGTCTGTAGACTATACTCTGAATAATACAGATCTAATTATTTTTTCTGTTAGTTTTTTATTTTCTCAGCCGTTTAACATAGATATGAAAACGTCAATCTTAATTTGGATTAATGTAAAACATTTTTTTTTACAGAATAGCTTGCTTCTGATATAAGGCACTGTAACAAGCTATTCTGTTAAAAAAAAAAAAAAAATAGGAATAGTCTACAGACTATTAGCTGGCAGTGAAAAATGAGTTGCTCATGTCATCCAGCTGCGCACACCATTTTGTCCAGCAGAGATTTCTTGCCTAGGAAGATTTTTAGGTGAAGAAAGCAGTACATTGCATTCCATCTGGAACAAGTTCCTTGCCTCAATGAGCATTTGAGTAGCACTGCTTCAGATGCTCTTTGGGCATGATGATCCATACAGTGTTTAAAAAGAAACAACACACACCAAAAACCACTTGGTTTGCCAACAACGGTGATTACAGTGGGATTCAGAGAAGCAGTTCTAATGTCATGCTAGGCTGGTCATCAGATGCTTCAAGTAGGAAAGTTATACCTGGGTCCATGTCAGTAGAAATAAAGCAAAGGCAGTCATGTGAGTGAAACAGTAAGTGAATTAAATGCATGGTGAGAACATAGGAGATAGAATTGAAACCATGAGTCCGGGAAATAGCAATGTAGGAAAGATGTAGGGAGTTGAAACCTGAGAAGGTTCGGTGGAGGCCAGACACAGGAGCCTAAGCCCATATAAAAGAATGTGGAGATTATTTTTTGAGGAAGAACAGTTAACACATTTGAACCAAAGGAATGATCCATTCCAAATATGTCTTAGTCTATTATTCTTGTATAGAGAAAAGAAAGGAGCAGAGATTTGTTGGAAAGCCATTTTGCAGTTTCTAAGGAAATGCTAAACACCTGAACTAGAGCACTAGAGACAAGAAATTAACCAGATAACAGAAATAGTTCTGAAAGGATTCATAGAATTGGGACTTAAGGTGGAACAAGGAATAACCAAAAAAGAAAAAAATCAAGATAAGACCATCTAGTAAATGAAAAATGATATGACCACATCCATTTTCAGAATCGGCTTTAGTACAGTTAAATTTTGTATTGTGCTAACAATTCCATAGTGAGAAAATAGCAGTATGGGAAAAGTGCTTTCCTCTCTCCAACTGGGGGAGGATCTAGGAGGAGAAACTAGACTAAGATGTGTTTGTTGGAAATAAAATGACAGCTTAATCCCCTTTTGAATATTCAGATCGCTTTCTTTCTCTTCTAAGGAGCTGATAGCTTGTTAGATGTAAGTTCTGAAGCTGACCAGCAAGATCTTCTTGTCCTATTGCAAGCAAAAGTTGCTTCCCTCACCTTACACAATAAAGAGTTACAAGATAAATTGCAGGTAGGTGAATAAATTGCTACCATGAACTCTTCTTTAGATTCAAGCAGTTGGTCTTCCCAAGGGTAGTCAGGTGCATTTTGTTTTAAATATTTGCATAAGTTTCTTCCTTTTCAATATGTAGTTACTGTTGCAGTTGTGTTTGTTTCTTAGAGTGTTGTTCATTATCTCTTTCTGTAAATTGCTAAGTCATATAAAGTAAGTTGTAACTTAAAGTAGATTATGTATTTATATATTTTATGTATATGTGTATTATATATAAAGTACCTTATACATTATATACTAGATTATATATCCATGCAATATGGGGTCAGCTATATTTTAAACTTTTTAATAGACTGTATAAACAATTTACATAAGATTCATAAGATAACTATATATGAACACTTTACATTTCTTTTAAAAATATGTGTCAATATAGATCAGCTGTTCATTTAGTAAATTTGATCATTTAGCAATCTTAAGAAATTGATAAACAATAGCTATAGTTTGTCCTTTGCCCTCCTGGGCAACTAGAGTGATACGGGGAACAAAGAAAAATTTTGAAAACACTGCCAGCATCCTGGCTCACCCATATGCCAGCTATGCAGGAAACGTAAATAGTAAATAGGAGAATTGTGGTCCAGACTGGCCCAGATATAAATAAGAAATCCTATTCAAAAAGTAACTAAAGCAAAAAAAAGGGGTGAGGTTGTATCTCAAGTGGTAGGGCACCTACCTAGCTACAATGAGGCCCTGAATCCAAACTCTTAATACCACTCAAGACCAAGATAAAATAGCCTGGTGCTGGTCTCTCACACTTGTAAACCTAGCTACTCAGGAAGCTAAGATTTCAGGATCCCAGTTCAAAACCAAGCTAGACAAAGAAGTCCCCATCCGACTCTTATCTCTAATTAACCACTCAAAAACTGGAAGTGGTACTGTGGCTCAAAGTGGTAGAACACTAGCCTTGAGCAGAAGATCTTACAGGGACAGTGCCCAGACCCTGAGTTTAAGCCCCACAACTGGGCGGGGGGGGGGGGGGGGGGGGAGATTAAAAAAAAGACAAATAATTTGCCCTGATAAATGAGTAAGTGATGAATGATATCATTGGTTTAGCCCTCATGTACCAGAGCACTGTTTTTCCTGGTGCAAGCATACACATGCAGAAAGATCTTACTGCTTTTCAATACTAAAATTCAGATTTGTTCCTCTGTTTCAGTCACCTAACCACACCTAATTCCTTTCCTTTCTAGGCAAAATCATCCAAGGAGGTGGAAGCAGACCTAAGCTTTGACGCTTTTCATTCTACCCAGACTGACCTGGCTCCATCCCTGGGCAAGCCTAGTGAAGGCCCTCCCTCAGACTCCAAATCATCTCCATCAGTCTTAGCACATTCTTTGAGGAAATCCACTGTTGACAGCGATGCTAGAATCCAGCAACTACAAGAGACTTTGCAAGACTTGCAGAAGAGATTAGACAGCTCTGAGTCAGAGAAGCAGCAGCTACAAGCTGAACTTCAGTCTCGAAATGCAGACCGGGTGTGCTTGAATAGCACAGAGATTTCAGAGAATGGCTCTGACCTCAGTCAGAAACTGAAAGAAACTCAGACCAAGTACAAGGAGGCCATGAAAGAGGTCCTCAGTGTGCAGAAGCAGATGAAACTGGGTCTCCTCTCCCATGAGAATGAGGATAGCTATTCACCTCTTAGTGAGGCAGGAATCACTGATGAGATAGATGTGCTAAAGCAAGATCTGCAGAATGCATTGGAAGAAAGTGAAAGAAATAAAGAGAAGGTGAGAGAGTTAGAAGACAAACTTGTGGAGAGGGAAAAAGGTGGAGGGATGAAGCCACCTGCAGAAGAGTATGAGGAAATGAAAAGTTCATATTGCTCTGTCATTGAGAATATGAATAAAGAGAAAGCATTTTTGTTTGAGAAGTACCAAGAGGCCCAAGAAGAAATCAAGAAGTTAAAAGACACATTACAAAGTCACGTGACACAGGAAGCCAGCGATGAAGCTGGAGACATGAAAGAAGCCATGAACAGGATGATAGATGAACTCAATAAACAGGTGAGTGAGCTGTCCCAGCTCTACAAGGAAGCGCAGGCTGAGCTGGAGGATTATAGGAAGAGGAAATCTCTAGAGGATGTGACGGCAGAGTATATCCACAAAGCTGAGCATGAGAAATTGATGCAAGTGACCAATGTGTCCAGGGCTAAAGCAGAAGAGGCACTATGTGAAATGAAGTCTCAGTATTCAAAAGTGTTGAACGAGTTAACCCAGCTCAAACAACTTGTGGATGCACAGAAAGAGAACTCTGTGTCCATCACAGAACATTTACAAGTGATAACCACACTGCGGACTACTGCCAAAGAGATGGAAGAAAAAATCAGCCATCTGAAAGAGCACCTTGCAAGCAAGGAAGTGGAAATGGCAAAGCTAGAGAAACAGCTCCTGGAAGAGAAAGCCACAATGAATGATTCGATGGTACCCAAATCTTCTTATGAGAAGCTCCAATCATCCTTAGAAGGTGAAGTGAGTTTGTTGGCAGCAAAATTAAAGGATTCAGTCAAAGAAAAAGAGAAGGTCCATTCAGAGGTGGCCCAGGTTCGAAGTGAGGTCTCACAAATGAGAAGGGAAAAGGAAAACATTCAAACTCTCTTGAAAGCCAAAGAGCAAGAAGTAAATGACCTACTGCAGAAATTCCAGCAGGCTCAGGAAGAACTTGCTGAAATGAAAAGGTCTTCTGAAAGCTCTTCAAAACTAGAGGAGGATAAAGACAAAAAGGTAGGTGAATTTCGATTGCTGTTGAGCTTCTAGCAGTAAGTTGTAGACTCTTCAGTTGTAGGCTCTTTCACTGTGCTAGATGTTTACAGGATTTGTTAGGAAGGCTCAGGCTCTGTGCCTGTCACTATCTGTCCTTAGAATAGTATGTTGTGCCACTGTAATGCCTATTCAGGAGGTGTCCAGGATAGTGAGTTCAAGGCCAGCCAGGCTGAGCCACATAGGCCCCATTTCAAAAGCAAAGTAAGAATAGTTAGTTGGAAATTGATCTGCCACACTGCCGTATACTGAATGCATTTTCTTTTTTTAAAATTGTATTATCTTTAAATGGTTGTACAAAGAAGTTCCCATTCTACAAAACAGTATATGAATACAAAGTGTCTGATAACATTGTCACCCATGGCTCCAAACCCACCCCTTCTCACTTTTCTTTTCTTCTTTTTTTTTTTAATTGAGATTAGGTAAATACATAAATTTCACGTTTCACAGTATTAGGGAATAGTGATACTTAAAGTCACAAACACAAATTGTCATTATCATGGTCTATAAAGTTTGTGAATTCTATGAGCTTTGACAATACTATATAGGTGATATTTACGTTTCTTTCCTTTTGCTTAGTGTAAGCTGTTCCCTCCTTCCCTTTCATTCCTCGCTTCCCATCACTGTCTTTGGGTTGCTTAGTTCTTTTTGTTTATTTTTATTAAAGCGTTTTTAAATAGGTGGTCTCTATCTGCCCTTTAAAAATCATTTAATAGGCCAGCTGTGGTGGTACATGTACATAATTCCTGGGCTACATAGTGTAAACCTGTCTCAAACAAACAAATCATCTAACAGAAGTTCTGCTGGTGCTGAGAATACTGTGACCTGCCTTGAACTTCATCTCTTCATTTTGAATCTCAAATTGATTTCTCTATCATAAGGAAAAAGATACTTGTAATATTAATCTTCCCTCTCAAAATTTCAGGAACTTCTTGCCCCCTGAGTACACATAAACACTTTTCTGATTCTCCATTTTCAAAAGTCTCAAGGCTTGGCCAAGGAATGTGGGGAGCAGGGCGTTTGGAGATGGCACTGGATGTGGCCCTGAGATGGGAGGGAAGCGAAGATCAAGTTCAGGGTGGTTCTTACTGAGTCTGCTCTGCATTCCCAGTCTCCTGCCACTGGAGGCGCTGAATAATACAGGGGCATGATTCATCTTTACCCTTTTGTCAAGAGTGTTTGAAGAGCCGGGTGCCAGTGGCTCACACCTGTAATCCTAGCTACTCAAGAGGCTGAGATCTGAGGATCGTGGTTCAAAGCCAGCGCAGGCAGGAAAGCCCGTGAGACTCCAGTTAACCACCAGAAAACCAGAAGTGGTATTGTGGCTCAAGTGGTAGAGTGCTCAACCTTGAGCTGAAGAGCTGAGGGACAGTTCCTGTGCCCAGAGTTCAAGACCCATGACTGACCAAAAAAAAAAAAGTGCTTGAAGAATAGCTTTGAAAGCTGATGGTATAGAATAACAAGACGTGCTAAGCAAGACAGGAGGTTTTGTATTCACTAAAAGCAAGATAGCCAGATGTCAGGGTTCTTAGGACTTAGTCCTGATTGTCCATTTCAGCACTGTGTCAGCCATACTGGACAAGACAAATATCTTCAAATAAGAAATGGTTCTCAATTTTGTTCTTAGTTTTTAACCAGTAATACCTCTTTTAAGGGTAAGGGAACCTGATTTCATAGTGTCTGTTACCTTCATCCATCAAAATAGGTAATTCAGGAGGAGCCTTAATCAGAATGGAATAGATTTGGAGGGATTTAGTTTGCCAGGTTATGTCGTTTCACCTTAGGGGAGAGAGGGAGGTAAGGAGAGGGGAGAGAGGAGAGAGGAGAGAAGAGTAGCTGGGCACCAATGGCTCACTCACACCTTTAATCCTAGCTACTCAAGAGGTTGAGATCTCAGCCTACTCAACTCAGGCAGGAAAGTCTTTGAGACTCCCAATAACTGCCCCCCCCCCAAAAGACCAAAATCCACAAGTGTTTTTGTTGCTCAAGTGGTAGAGTGTCAGCTTTGAGCCAAAAAACTTAAGGGATGGTGGCCTAGGGCCCTAAGTTCAAAGTCTCAGAACAAGCACACCAAAAATAAGAGAATTCTTCTAGTTTCTCAAGTCCTAAAAGCAGATAGAAATGACTTACGTTGAACGCCTAGAAATCTCTGGAATTTTGCTTCTGTAGACACAGTAGTGCCTATTGATACCGATTTTTCCCCCATGCACTAGATAAATGAGATGTCAAAAGAAGTCAGCAAATTGAAGGAGGCCCTGAACAGCCTGTCTCAGCTCTCCTACTCAACCAGCTCCTCCAAAAGACAGAGCCAGCAGCTGGACACACTGCAGCAGCAGGTCAAGCAGCTTCAGACACAGCTGGTCGTGAGTGGATTTCTTTCTACTGCCTGGTTTAGGGGGGAGGCTGAGGGAGATGACACTCTAGCCTAGATGACCATGGGAAGGATGCTTAGCCTAAAGGAGGGTTAGGCTTCAGTGAGCAGCCGACTGAGGACTGCTCTGGTGAGGACAAATGGAAAAAAAAAATACTGGTGGGATTGCCAGGTGTCATTTGTACTTGAGGTGGGTTAATACACTGCTGGGAAGGAGGGAATCGAGTTGCTGGTCACACACCTGCTAACATGGCAGCTACCCACTCCCATTTCACACCTCCTTATTTTTCCAGAGTGGTCTTTCTCCGTCTCTGGTAATAGTGAGGGCATTTTGCTTACAGGGATCATGCTCTTTGCGATTGTGTATCTACATGTTTGAAGCAGCTTCTCAGACTGTCTTACTGACCCAAGAAAGCCCTTTCCTCTCTGTTGTTTCCTGTGGGTGTTGTAATAAATCACTGCAAACTTGGATTGAAGCCACATGCATTTATTATCTTAGGTTTCTCAAGATTGGAAGTCTGAAATGGGTTTTACTAAAGGGTTTACTTTAGGGCTTACTAGAGTAAGGTGAGGATGTTGACTTGGTTCCTTCTGGAAGCTCTAAGGGAAAATCTTAACTTTTTATGTTTGTTTTTGTGTTTGTTTATTGTGCTCTCTCCTTAACTTTCTAGCTTCTACAGGCCACCTTCTTCCCTGGGTTATGGCCCCTGTCAATTTCAAGGATATCATTTCAACTTCTGCGTCTATATTCCCAGTTCTTCCCTCTGCCTTACTTGTAATGCTTTTATAAAGATCCTTATGATAGCATTTGAAGCCTGCTCAATCTGTGATAATCTCTCATTCCATCTCTAAATCTTGAATAATATCTGCAAAGATCCTTTATACCATATAAGGCCACATTTACAAATGCTAAGAATTAGTATGTGGTCACCTTTGGACAGCCATTATTTAGCTTACTTAAGTGTCTGTAAGATATTTAATGAGCCAAGGGAATGACATTTTTTTATACAAGTTAAGGTTTATATCTTATCTACAGTTTGCATTTACAGACAGACATACCTCAAGTAAGTTCTTCAGTATAAACTAAATTTTAATGAATTCTGTTTTCTACACCTACTCTGGCTGGGCTCAAAGTAGAATCCTAGCTCTGCGGTGTTAAGAGCTTTAGCAGAATAATTTGGCGGAATAATTTGGAGAATATGGTTCTTACTGTATTATGCAGGTCATTCTCCTTATAAAATGGTTATTTCAGATTCTAAAGATCCTTCAGCCTGTGTTTATCGAGCTCTTGTTTAAGTATTGCATATGATATCAAGGTTATACAAATGAGCAAGACACAGCCCTTGCTTCATGGGATTCATACCCAAAACATAGGAATACAGTGAGCATCCACTGACATGCAATGACACACAGAGGAAAAGTGTCTACCCCGCGTGTAAGAATCATAGAAAGCTTCCACAGAAGGTGAGCCTTATGCTGAATCTTGAAGCGATGAATAATGACTCCCCATTACTCAGAATTGAATGTGTCACTCAGATGACCTTTGTCAACTCTTAATCCTTTCCACCATTCCTGTGGAGTGTGGGGTAGAATCTGAACTTCAGGTGATTGTCACTGAAGTGAATGAGAAGGTGACATGTAATCAGAAATGCAGTATTGAATGATGTCAGCAATTTTAGAAGATTCATATGCCAGCATATAGTAGAATAAAGCAGTTGTTTAGAATCAGGGGAGCTTTCTCTGAATAATGTGTTTCTGTTCTTTAATGATCTAAGCTTGCCAATCACATCCAATTATCTCTCTCTAGGAATGCAAGAAACAACACCAGGAGGTCATATCAGTTTATAGAATGCATCTTCTGTATGCTGTGCAGGTACGGTGCAATGTCTGGACATCCTAAAGAAACACAGTAGCAGATGCTGCCAAAATTCCCACCATACAATGAGTAGAATGAACAAGAATGAGGGGAGAATGCTTCCATTTGAAAAGCTTGTGCTTTGTTTTGGATTTTGTGTCCAGAGCTTTGTGCTGTTTACTAGGAACAGCCTCATCATATATTGAGAAGATGGGTCTGCTGTGCCTCATTAGGAAGACCCAGGTTTTGTATTATCAGAGCACTCAATACTTCTTTCCTCTCTATTTGTTGATGCTCTGTCTGGCGAGGCTCACATTAACAACTGACTTCAGGTACCCCATCCCTCTTTGGTAGGCTTTGACAGACTTAAGATTCATAGTACCCTCAGTTTGACTCAGGCCCTCACAAACTTGTAGGAAATGATAGGAATGATATTCTCCTGAAAGTTAGAGGGAATAAATTGAAGACTTCATCACAGCCTGCCATCTGATACCCCAGGAAAATGGGTGTTATGACTTAATGGAGGTTCTAATGAATGTCTTTTGTGAATTTCCTAGGGCCAGATGGATGAAGATGTCCAGAAAGTCCTGAAGCAAATCCTGACTATGTGTAAAAACCAGTCTCAGAAGAAGTAAAAATGGATTGCTTGGCAGGACAGTACCCCTTGTTGTCTAGCTTTGTGTTAGATCCAGTTGTTGGCGACCACTGCCATTGTTCTTATTCGTGGTATGCACTGTGATGTAGCATAGCTTCTTTCCTTCTAAAGGTTTCTGAGGACTACTCTCAGGAGAAGAGGCCCTCTTCAGAACTGCTTAGAGACTTCACACCAGCAGAGGGAAATGTCCCTGACATCCTTTGAGATTCCATAGCTGGGATTGGCCATACCCAGAGGTCTGGTCCTGATGTTGGCCACCCTCCTTGGTGGGTGAACGGCTTCACAAGTATCAAGTGATCTGCTGAGGTTACCATGAAGTGACTGACAGCTGCTTCAGTGCCTGCCCTTCTGCTGTGTCATTAGCACAGGAGAGCTCTTTTTGCCTTTGGCTTCCAATCCCAAAACGTGATTTCATCTCTGGCCAAATTATTAGGACATTAGCTATGCCTACCCTTTATCATGATAATCCTGTGGATTTTTTTTAAAAACTATACTCTCATTTTTCCCCAAGCTGCCATACATCTTATCACCCTGCTAATCACTTTATAACTTGATGAGTACTGCTCACTAAAATATGAAATCTAAAAATAAAAGCAAACTGTCCTTTAAGAGATCTTTCCTTTTTTAAGTAAATCATTGACATACTGCAAATTTTCTATGCAAACTTGCCTCCTGCTATTATCCATGAAGCTCAGGAAATCCAAATATTTGTATTTCAACAAGGGACAGTAAACTGTGTGTTTACAGCCAAAAGTAATGCCTCATAGTTCCTAACCTCAATTTTTTAAAGTTTTTTTTTCTCTATAGTATTTTTATTGGCTCCTAAAGAGGTTTTCCTATCTCAACCCCTAAATAAGTAAAATTACACTAGATTATATGAACGAAATATTTTTTAGGTAACCATGCTTGCCTCCTATAAAAAATTTTTCCTCCAGGTTTTCAACTCAACATGAACCAGTCTCCCCTCAGACTTGCTGCCACTGTCTTCTCCAGACTTGTAGTACATTTCTAAATATAATCGATTCTCTTTTTTACTGATTGAATATTTTGGAATGTCCCCACTCTACAAGTGGCCATCAATTACCTCTTTAAGGCCTATTATTAGTATCAGTCAGTTTTTCAACTTTGAAATAAAATCCTGATGTGGTAAAATGGTGCATAGTGAAAGTCTTGGGGGGAGGGGTACTTCTGTTCACTTTACTTTTAGGTTATTCAGAAAGTGTTTCTAACTTGCTTGCAGCTTGTCTTATTGTATTGATCTTGAGGGAGATAAATAGAAGACTCCACTTTTAGTCTATAGCTGAAAGTGGAGGCCTGTTCCAACAGGGCCCATGCGTACCACAGGGCTGCCTGGCTCCAAGGGTGCTTGGCTCAACTGTAAGATGTGTTCATTTGTACTGGATGAGAACCAATGACAGCAAAACAAAAATGGCTTTAAGCTTGGTGGTGTTGTTTTCATTATAGCGCAGCAATTCCAAATATGCTCCGAAGAAATGTGAAAGGACTTTTTGTCACAACACTTAAGAAAATACAAAACAATCCCCGCCCCCCTGATTCTGCCACCCCTCCCTCACCCCTGCACAGAAATGCTGCAGAGTATAAAACTTGAGACATTTTGTAGGATGCCCTTTATCTTGTTTCAGGATGCATATTTATTACAAGTACTCTGGTTAAATATTGAAAAGTTATATGCTGTAGTTTAGTCTTTCGTCTTTGTAATTTACAGAAATAATTGCAGAAAATAAACTTGTTTCGTTTTGCATCTTTTGTGTCAGCTTTTTTTTTTTTTTCCCTGTGTTCATAAGTGTGAAGTGGCTTCGGAAGCTCCGTCGCATTTTGGTGTAAGAGTTTTTATATCCTGAATGATGGTGAATGGTGGGAGGGGTCCCTTCTCTCACACTAAGTCTTAGGCCATCCTGTCTCCCACGCTGCTCTAGGTAGCAGCCACTTGGGGGCAAGTAGGTCACAATCCTTTAATTCAGGATTGCCTCTTGTTTGAGCTGTGTTGTTTATATCTGTTTGGAAGATTTCACTGGATTTATTTCCCCTCTTGTTTTCCTCTTCTTTTTTCCCTTAAAAGTAGTACATGGTTTAAAACAATTGAATAAGCAATAATAATAATTTTGTTTTTACATAAACTTTGTTAGGACAGATTCCAAGGGTCTTAGCATACCCATCTTAAGATCACATGATATGCTGTGTGGTGAGAAAACTAAGAACAAGTTGAAGCACCACAGTTTGCAGTGTGATAGAACTTGGAATGCTAGTTGCTGACAACAGCAGAAATTCCATTTAGCAAAGATGGTTGGGGGGGGGAGTGTTTTTGTTTTTTTTTTTGGCAGAATTATAAGGCAAACTGCAACAAGAAAGTTGGAAAAAGTAATACACCAAGCAAGACATTTTTATGTCAGAAGAGAGACCTGCCAAGCATTATGGCAGTATATGGCCTATTGGAGAAATCAAAGTTCAACCAAGATACTCATCATAAATGGATCTTAAAATCTGGCTGAGGAAATGGGCAATGTGGCTTCCAGCCAGGGAAAGACTCCTCTGAGAAGTTAAGCCCCAAGAGATGGGGGACTGGGGCCGGGGGGGGGGGGGGGGGTGGCACGGGTGTGTGTGTGTGTGTGTGTGTAGAGATTCCTTCACTTTTAATGCAAACCAGGCTCACAATGGGTGAATTTGAGAATTGATTAGATATACCAGATTATAAAATGAAAAATGCTTTCGTTTTCTTTTTTAAGGTAGGAAAGTGAAGTCAGGTACAACCAAATGATATAAGCCCCTAAGCCAGAAGATGGTAAAGGGGTTTTTAAAGCCATGAAAAATAAGTGCCCTCCCCCAAAATGTCCATCATTGTAATCCTTGGAACCTGTGAATCTGTTACGTTATATGGCAAGGGATAATTAAAAACCTAATCAGTTGAGCTGAAAATAGGATTATCCTAGATTGTTGGGTGAGCCTAATGTAACAAGAGGGACTTTTTAATTCCCTGTAGTTACTTTTTAATTACTGTACCCTTTGTCTTGTATATAAGTTTATCTGATTTGGGGGGGGGGGAGAGGAATCACAGAAACCATGGGACAAAGGGTGAACCAATTCAACAGGGATACTCACGAGACACTGGACTGATTGGCCTAGGCTAGTGACTGAATACCACTTCTGAAAAATACAGGGTCCTTCTCATCTTTTGGTGGAGTTGATCTTTCCTTCCCTTCTTGTATCTTCACCTTGGAGAGGGAATAGCCTGGTGAGGAAGATTCAGAGCAGCCAGGGAAGTTCAGGGCCCAGTCAGGCTACATGTAGTCTTGTATAGGACAGCCCAGCAAGCTGCAGATGGCTAGGGCGCGTCCCAGGTTGCTATGGCTACTGTGTCTGCTTTCTGTTCCTAAGGCAACCTCATTGTCTGAATCCTGGGCTGAAGTAGGAGACCTCGCAGCAGGTCTAGCTTCCCCACATAACCCTTGTGGCACAGGGAAGGAGGTCTGCCAGGCCAGGACTCTGAAGCTACCTGCAGGGGGTATCAGAGCAGCCCCGCCCAGGGAGGCTAGAAGGCTAGTTCCCAGGTCGTGGCTTTTCAGCCATTGTCCAACAGAGAACTCAATCTGCAGCCACAGGAACCTCAGGGGTAATGTCCATGGTAACAGTGGCCAGGAATTGGGGCTCGTGGAGGCAGGGTTTAATCATACAGAGTAACCTCTGTGGGAGACAAGGCAGCAATGTGCCCATCCTACATATTCTAGGAACATTAGGATGTGGGAGGTTGAGGGGGTCAGAACCCCTAGTTTTGAAAATAGGGTTTAGAAAGAAAAATTACTGATCAACTCTTCTAATTCTGGATTATAGGTCAAGGAAAGCTCCTTGGATCTCCCCAAGGAATGAGTGAAATGGGCGAATGAGGAACAGCTTAATACATGCTGATGCTCAGTAAATGTGCATTCCCCGTGGATGTAAGAGAAAGGATTAGCCTTGAGACGTGGGTAATTGTAAATCATATTTTCCACCATGCGTAAGGTTCACTCCAATGCAATGGCTCCTAGGAAGAGGAGAATTAATACGCTAGATGTATTTCATTTAATACAGAGCTGGTTACTTCGGCTCCTCTAGCATACCAGGATTTGAGTTGAGTAGGTAATCATAGATTGGAAGTTCTAAAAGATGTAAAGGAGAAGATTTTTGAGTTTTTTAAATATTCATTTCATTTAATTTGCTTTTAAGTCCAGGCATTCTGTAGAAGGAATGTGGAGCAGAAAGCAGGAAAAACAAAGGCCTCTAATTTCTGCTTCCAAGTAGTCTCCACCCTGAATTTACATAATTTTTGTGACTTATATTTGACCATTTTAATACTAGTAGTTTCTATTCAATGCTACTCAATGTTTAGACGCTACTATTTAATGTTGGTATCATTTGATGTCTAAATAGTACCAGCTTCTAAGATTATTTTTAAAGTTAAACTCAACAGTTCAAGCCCCACAACCAAAAAAAAATAAAGTTAAACTCACATGTGATTCTTGGTAGGAAGATGCCAGCCAACCCCATCTACATTCCAACTGTTACCAATGACACCGATTGGAACTTCTGCTTTCACCTGTAAGTACCATGGAATCTTGTTTGACATCAAACGAACTCAATGACAACCGTCTCTCCTGGCAAGCCTGGTAAAGAGCCTTTGGATGCATGCTGGAAGAGAAAGTTCCCGTGATGTGCTTAAATAATAATTATGCTGAAAGTTTCATTTCTGTTACGTGTTTTAATAATAACAATGCCAAAATATCTGTTTGTCTCTACAACTTATGTAAAGTGGAATCCAATAGATTCTTTCCTATCTGTAAAAAATTTAATGTTCCAGAAAATAGATTCTTTATAACAAGTCTGGTTAAAAAAAAAAATCATTGACAACATGTAACCTACTCAATGAGAAAATGAGGTTTTATGAAACAATTAATTTTAAAATTCACATCATAATAAAGTTGATTGGGCACAAGGTATTTGTCCTCTGAAAACCCTGTGAGAGAGGTCCTGTCATTACCACATTTTACTGAGGAGTTTAAATAAAAAAGAAATTACTGTTAGTGATACTGATAATAAGGCATTCTGAGTCCAGAGCCCATTATAACTATTATTATTATTATTCACTATTATCCTTAAGTAATTTTTCAATAGAATTTCATTTCAGCATATCAGTTTGTGAGTACATGTTGATCAACATTATCCCTTTCATTATTTTCCCCATCTCTTCCAAACCTACCATCCCTTCAATTTACCTAGTTCCATTTTCACATACGTACATTGAATATTATGACTTCATCCACCCACCTCCTCCTCTATCTGCCCTGAACCCCTGACCTTATTCCTACTCTTACCCCCAAAAGCACATCATCTGGCTTCATTTCTCTTTACCAGGACTCAATTTTGGTGTAGCTGACATAGTGGGTTGGATATCTCTTTTTTTTAAAGAGCTATTCATTGTAACTGACTACTCATTGTAGGATGTTTAGCAGCATCCCTGGCCTCTACTGACTAGCACTAGATGCGACTAGCACTAGTAAGTTGTGATAACCAAAATTACCTCAAACATTACCAAAAGCAAAAATCTTCAAGAGCAGGGACTTTAAACATTGGTGTCTTTACAAATGATGTGCTAACACACACACACACACACACACACTCATACACACAAACTAATCTAGTGTCAATGGACAGATTAAATTGAAACCCCTTTGCACAATTATGTGAAGATAATAATATAAAAACTACTAATAATGGAAAGAGATGAAGACAAGCAAAGTGGTAAGATAATATTGTCCAGTGAAGTATCTCTTAAAGGAGAGTAAGAAAAAGAATAGTGAGACTGAATGATGAGTCTCCTTTGCTAACTTGTAATTTATTCCATATGTTGCCACCATATAGACTAATTCTGATTAGTAGAAAATACTGTAATTATGCGATACTTTTTAACATACTCTGCTATGAACTCTAGATTTTACTAACGTCAATGTTCTCTTAACCGCAAGGTATTTTATGAGACAGCATACAATCTCCAATATGGTAACCAACATAGTCAGAATTGAAATATACTACCAAATGCAGACTACAACACTGGATGAGTTGTATCACATTTATCTTCTTTAACTTCATCAGCTAGATGTTGAATTTTATATTGACCTAATTTTATGAAGTAGGTGAAATAACAGCTTGCTTAAGGCCATGTGTCTGGTAAACAGCAGAGCTGTGACTAATGAAAGTGACTGGTTCACCAAATTTATTTACTTTGAGCCACCACATTGCTGTCCTGGACGCTAGGCCTGAGAGGGACATGAGTATACCACTTAGCTTTATTTTTTCAAGTTTAATTTAGAAAACATGGCCTCATCCTTCACTGAGGAGCTCTATTCCTTCAGTGCTATTTGTTTTTGAGGATCCTGACTTCATGTTTCTTTCATACCCACAGGTCACAACAAAACAAGATCCCATCACACAAGCAAACAGATGAGTTATGCTTCACTTGTGAGTCAAGAGAGAGTGAAGAAGAGTCTAGAACTGAGGAAGAAGATGGCATTGACTGTATGTCTCTTCCCAAACAGAAATTAGCTCAGTCCCAGAAGAAAATCACTCAGCTGATTAAGGAAAAAATGGTAAACAAGAAAAAATGTACTTTGTATTTATTTTCCATTAAAAATATGATAGATGGGAGAGAATCACTAAAGGGATGATATTGCTCAAGATGCATTGTACTTATAATGCGACCTACAAAATCATAACCTCCTTGTACAACTACTTAATAATAAAAAATTTTAAGAAGTACATGGAATAAAGAATTTCAGAAATATTAAAAAAAAATAGAGATACTCCACCTTCACTGTAAAATAAAGCATATCAAGTGGAGGAAGATGTTTATTTCATTGTTAGCGAGAAAACAAAGCAGAAGGTAATTACCAAGCCAGTCTACCCTCCTTCTCCCTCCCTGGCTTGTGGTCTGTTCCTCCTTGGGAGTGTCTGTGTTCCATATTCTACACTAACAATTAACACCTGCTTTGTTCTATTGCCATTCAATTAGGCTTAGTTAAATATTTTTTATGTCTCCTGGAAGGTTTCACTATGTTACCTTTTGTATAGAAGGTAGAAACCGAATAGTAAGGCCCAAGGCCATGAACCAGAGTAGCCAAACAAATGCCCATGGCTCACACATGTAATCCTAGTTACTCAGGAGGCTGAGATCTGAGAATCAAGGTTTAAATCTAGCCTGGGCAGGAAGGTCTGTGAGTCTCTTATCTGCCGTAACCATCCAAGTATGGAAGTAGAACTGTGTGGTTCAAGTGGTAGAATGCCAGTTTTGAGCGGAAAAAGCAAAGGACAGCTCCCAGGCCCTGTGGTTAAGCTCTAGAACCACACACACACACACAAAGAGTAATCAAGCTAAGCTGAGGACTGAGTCAGGCCTAACAAGGCTAGGGGGTAGGTCTTCATTTCTAAGACTGAGTCAAGCACATGCAACTGGAGTCTTCAAACAAGTGTGTGAACAAGAGTATTCAAAGTCCAGGATTCTAAGACAGCAATGCTTTGAAAAGAGGCCCCCAGCCCACTTCCAGAGCATGACTTATCCACAGAGGGAGGAGTTTATACACTGGCTTCCTGATCATTCTTTTTCAAGGGAAAAAATGATTTTAAAGTACACGTATATTAAAGAAGGAGCTAGCTCAAGATAAACTGAGAGTACCTCAGAGGCCAATGATAGAATATGATATCTCTCTAGATGGCTACTTGTAAGTTAACCTTTGTAAATTACCCAAGTAACTTGCAAAGGAAAATCAGGCTGCTGCTGCTGGTTTGGACCTATCATTAGTTTACATCCAGTCTAGAAAGATTTCTAGAATCAAAACTTATCATGTACTATGTAGTTCATCAGGTTAGGTGGGAGACGGACAGTCAGGAGAATGTCATCCTTGAACTCAATGTGACACCATACCTGTATATAACTTCCAGTGATTTACAATTACATAGCACTTTGATTTGAATCACTTAAACACTGACCTTAAAACTTGGGATTTCTCTAAATCTCAGAGTAGGATTTTGGGACTCTTGGCAGTCTTCCTGAAAGCAATGTTATGAATAAATATCATAATGTCTTTTCATCTCATCAGGAAACAGTCACCTGGCTTTGTTGACTACTGGAGACCACACGTTTTTGTAAAGTCACTGAAATAAGTGCCTGGAAGAAATTCTGTGATATCTTAGCCACCTTTGCCCATCATTCTCCTCCTTATTAATAGAACTTACTCACCAAATACTGTGTGTGTGCCTGCTCCATTCCCTGGCCATAGAGATGAAGAATAAACTTCTCTCAAGGAGTTGGGAAGACAGTTAATAGAAACCAGCAGAAAAGACAAGTAATATATTATATCAGATAGGAATGAGTGCAAAATAGGAAATAGCAGATAGCTATTTTAGAAAAGTAGCCAAGAAGGGCCTCTCTGTGGTGAAAAATGAAAATGAAACAGAAATATGCAATCAGTGAAAGAGTGTGTCAAGTGACTTGAGAGGAATAGTAGACAAAAAATCCCTGCATTAGAAATTAGTTTGACCACTGGGTGCCAGCGTCTCATGCCTGTAATCCTAACTAATCAGGAGGCTGAGATTTGAGGATTGCACGTCAAAGTCAACCCTGGCACGAAAGTCTGTGAGACTCTTATCTCCAATTAACCCCTAGAAAAGTGGAAGTGGCACTGTGACTAAAAGTGACACAGAGCACTGGTCTTGAGCAAAAAAGCTTAGGGTCAGCACCCAGTCCCTGAGTTCAAGCCCCATGACTTTGACCAAAACAACAACAACAACAACAAGAGAAATGAGTTTGACCTGTTTAGGAAGGAATAGCTGATCAGTGTGGCTGTACTAGAGAGGATAAGAGGAACAGTAGGGAAGTAGAAGATGAAGTATGGTGAGGAATTTGGATATGATATATGATATATATATAACATCCTATATTATATCGTATTAAGCAGAGCCTAGGAGATCATGGTAAAGACTTTGGACTTCATTAAAAACAGAAAGTTGGAAGTTTTTGTACAGGGCCATCATGTGATTTAATTTATACTTTCAAGAGAGTATGATGACACATAAAATATGCTTAAAATATGGAAATTTATAAGCATAGTAAAGCATTTAGTCATCATTGCATGAGGCCATTTTGAAGATTTTAAGAGAAAAAAGACTCATCCTGGGTCTTGCCTTTCTATTACAGACTATACTTTTAGGAGACATTTCTCTTTAGGGACTTTTCAAGCTAATATTTGAAGAAGGAATGATAAAATTAGGATATCAGCATTTTATAATACTTTATGAATTATCCAAATAATAGAAAGAGAACTATATGTTATTTAATTTATGTGTTAATTATATTCTAATGGAAGAGAGGTGCCCCCTCCCGCTACTTTTGTAATAGTTGTAGTCAAAACTAAACTCAAGGATAAATTAGGTGTGGTGGTGCATACTTGTAATCCTGGAATTTGGGAATCTGAAGCAAAATGATGAGTTCCAGGCCAGCCTGGGCTACATATAACACCAACAAGCAAACAAAGTCAAAGCTAAAATCAGACAAAATTCTAAAGCTAGCTAACAGAATTAAGGCACAACAGAGTGGTGGTGGATCATGTCGAGTGATACCATGATGATGCACTCACAAAATACTAAAGCAAACAAGCTAGATTCTTTAACAAATGTTTTCTGAGAAAAAAAATGAGAGAGAGAAAAGGAACCTCAGATGAACAGAGACTCAAGAGACTGACTTAGTCTGTGGGCATCAAAAAACTAACATACTAGATTTAAAAGCTGAGATGTTTTATATTAAGAAAACATTGTTAAAGGGTGAAAAATGCAGCAATAGTACTCACTAGACACTGTTGAAAATGAACTATACAACAGGAGGGAAAAACTGGGAGAGAGCAAGGGGAAGGGTGACATGGTGCTAAAAGAAATGTACTCATTACCTGACATGTGTAACTGTAACTCCTCTGTATAGCACCTTTCTAATAACAATGAAAAAGAAAAAAATCACTGTTAATATTGTGCTGAGCCAATGATTTTGTTTTTTATAATTCCATATCTTTTAGAAATACTTACAAAAATGTATACATGAAGTAATATAAAGTCTTTGATTTGCTTCAACACAGTAGAAGAGGAGGGTGTCTGGAGGAAGAATACAGCTCCAAAATAGGATTTAACCATAGTGGTTCATATCCATATTGTCAGTGACATTTTTTCGTGATAGAAAATTAAAAGAAATTATTGTGGCTAGTACATGAAATCTAGTATGGTGAATTAGCGTAGCAGCAGTAAGTGGCTATCATGTCCAGCCAGATTATAGATGTGGACAGTTGAGACTAGGTACTTAGACAGAACTTGGCTATAGGAAATAGGAATGAGATGGAGCCAAATAAATGGATGGACCAGATGTGTCATGGGGAGGAATGAGAAGAAAAAAGATGACATTCATTTTTAACTTCTATTGAGGAGAGATACTTTTTACCTTTTTAACAGCATAAACATTTTTAAAAATTTTTGCTTTCTACAGAATACCCAAGCAAACAAGGAACTGATTCGATGTGTTATCCTTTCTCGGATTGTTTTTGGGCAAGAACACTGGAAGTGTGCACAGGCTTTGGTCAACCTGGCGTATGGATACTTGACACTGAGAGGTATTTGGTTCCCCCAGCGGAGTCTAGGCAGGGCAGTCTGTGAAGGTGAATGGAGCTGGTGGGGTTGAGGATGACTGGGAGGGCATCCACCTGTCCCTCAGCAAGAGAAAGGGAGAGCCCATGGTTAAGACACATAGTAATCTTGGTAAGAAAGACACTAAAGGTGATGAGGATTACTACTGGGTATTTTTCATATGGCAAGGTAGTTTTATTTATTTAATAACACTTGGAGGGAGTGAGTATTTTAGTCCTTAGTTTATGAAGGAGACACCGAGCCACAGTGCCGGGGGGGGGGGGGCACGGGGAGACAACATCATGGATAGGGAAAAGGCAGGTAGAGGCTTACCCCCAACAGAGGAGATTTTTCTGGAAGGTATTCTAGTATAAGATGGAATTCCTTTGTTCAAATTGGAATCCTGGAACCCAAGGGAAAGCTTTGTAAGAGCAGAAACTGTGTTGTAGAAGTTTAGTATGTATTTATCAACAGATTGAGTCAAGAACACATTTCTGAAACAAGAGTTAGTAGGAGTATTCTAGAGTATTCTAGACTGCCCTCTGCTTAGGTATGAGTAGAACAGAAGACACTTTAGAACAGACAGGTTATCCCTGGAAATCATACTGAAAAGGTAATTGGGGTCCAGATATCAAAGAATTTGGGAAATTTCAAAGGGATTTGAAAAGAAGTGGTAGTTTGTGTGTAAAATGAGACACTCTGGCTTTTACTGATAGAGGTAAAGAACAATTAGGCCATTAATCTTTCCAAGATGACAGCCAGTAAAGGCACTGACGGTGACAGTTGGCACATAAACTTCAAATGTAGACTTGGTAACATATAGAGACTAATTCAATGTAGAGTGAGAGGTACCGACAAGAGTTGAAATGGGCTTGGGTGCCTGTGGCTTATTCCTGTAATCTTAGCTACTCAGGAGACTGAGCTCTGAGGATTATGGTTTGAAGCCAGCTAGAGCAGGAAAGTCCATGAGACTCTTGCCTCCAGTTAACTACTCAGAAAAAGCCAGAAGTGGCTCTGTGGCTCAAGTATTAGAGGCTAGCCTTGAGCATAAAGAGGTTCAGGGATAGTGCTCAGGACTGGAAACAAAATGAGTTGAAATGGAAGTGAGTATGACCTGGACATTGAGCTAAGTGGGCAGGGGGTAGATGGTGTAGTTCAGTGATGGAGCATACTGCTTTCCATGTACAAGACCCTGAAGGGAAGGAAGGGAGGGAGGGAGAGAGGGAGGGAGTTAAGGGTTATGGAGAGGGAGGCTGAGCAGGGTGGGAGGAAAGGAAAGGAAGGAGAAAGGTAAGAAAAGAAGAAAGAAAAAAAAGTAGCCAACAGGAAAGGGAAAGGGAAGGGAGAGGAAGGGAAAGAAAAGAGAGGAAAAGAAAAAGGGGAGAAAAATTTGAGTCAATGGAGAAGTTCAGGCAGATAGGTCAATTCTATGTTTTTTGATGTTGTTAGGAACTGAAAAACAGACCTGAAAATAAGAAAAGAACAATTTGGAAGGGATTAGCACATAGGAACAAGTTGAAGAGTATGGATGAGTATGACCAAAATAAGTGTGTAGAAAGACATTGATTTTTTAAGTGCCAAAAGAAAAGGCAATAGGACAAAGGACATAAGACCTGGAAACAATAGCATTAGGGATGGGTAGTAAAAGAGGACCCAGAGAAAGTGAACTGAAAAGTTAACAGGGAATTGTTTGGAGAGAGGGTTTCAAAATGAAGTGCAGCATGTGTTCTACAGTTGCAGGTAGTAAAGTAAGGATTAGAGAGACAGACATCCATGATGTTGGCAATTAGCAATTGCTAATACTTGGTTTAGCCTGGACAAGAAGACTTCCTGGGCCCTGGGACTAAAATTTTTGCTGGAATTCAGACTCAAATCGAGGGCAACTGAACAGTAGAGGAAGACATTTAAGCGGGAGATCTGTCTAAACCTGGCACAAAGCTAGAAATGGCTTTTTCTGGAAGAGATAGAAGAGAACTGTGGTAGGTCTGTACAAGGAACTTGGCCTGTATCTTCTGAAATCTACCATTTCCATAGTCAATCATGTGACTTCTTCATGTGCCTTCCAATTAGATTCTAAGCTGAGTCAAAATAAAAGATGGTGTTTATAACCTTTTCTTCTTAAATCACAGTTTTTCTTATAGTAATAAAGAATTACACTTGAGATAAGAAGTTAGAAAAATGTCTGACAGTGATGCATACCTGTAATCCTAGCACCCAGGAGACTGAGACAGGAAGCTCAGGAGTTTGAGTTACCCTGATCTACGTAGTGAGGTTCAGGTCAACTTGATTTTTTTTTTTTTGATCCTCGTGGGGCCTGAACTCTGGGCTTGGGCGCTGTCCCTCAGCTCTTCAGCTCAAGGCTAACGCTCTACCACTTGAGCCACAGCGCCACTTCCGGCTTTTTTCTTTTTGCTTATGTGGTGCTGAGGAATCGAACCCAGGGCCTCAGGCATGCAAGGCAAGCGCTCTACCACTGAGCCACCTTCCCAGCCCCTCAACTTGATTTTTATAGTGAGATTTTTGTCTTGACAGCAAGAGAGAGAGAAGAGTTTTTGTTTTGGTTTTTGTCTTTTTTCCTAGTCAAGAGAAACAGCCTCCTGGTTAAGTGAAGTATTATTACCAAGTTTTTAACCTTAAATATTTGATAGTATCTGATCCATGGAATAAAACAATTCAGGCTTTAAAAAGTGAAGGAAGGGGAGGTGGAGAGGGAAGGGATGATAGGGGAAAAATAAAGGAAGAGGTAACAATGCTAGATAAGAAATGTACTCATTGTCTTACTCATGTAATTGTAACCCCTCTGTATTTTTACAATAAAAAACATAACAAAAGCAAAAAAGCAAAAAAAAAAGAAATAAAGAATAGAGAATAAATTCTAAAAAATAAGTGAAGTAGAAACATTGTCCAAAAAAGAAATGATGATACACCTTACTAATAGCAATAAAGTTACATTTCTAAAAAATTACAAACTTTTGAGAGGAATAAAGCACTTGTAAAGTCTAGTTCATTTTCTTGTTGTTAGTCTTGTACATTTTAATTTTCTTGTCATCAGTCCTGTGTCTGCTTTAAAATGAGGGAAATTACATTAGCTAGCCTTCCATGTGGACAGACCATAGGAATTCATGTGTTCATGCCTCATTACACGCATGCATGCTTTATAGCCACCAGACCTGTTTTCCTTATTCTCCTAGGGCTTTTCCAGAATCAGGATACAGAGGTCAAGGTCAGAGGTTGATGTCTTTCAATAAACAGTCTAAGAGTACTTAGTGAGAAACTTGTCTAAGTGAAATACTGGGAATATAATGTGAAGTCCTCCAAAAACTTACTGTGGAGAGTGCCTAACTATGCTAGCAGGTGAGGGAAAGTCAGTATTGTGCAATTGATAGAAAGGGCTTTGGAGGTCAACATTGATGTTACAGAAGTTGGTGGAACTTCTGAGATGCAATGAGAGAAAGCAAACTGGAAGACTTTGAAAATGGATCTGTTGATGGAAGGATCGGGGGAAAAAGAGTTAGCATTGAACCAGTTAGAGAAGAGTTGTAAAGAGAATCAGGTTGGTTCTGTACCTAAGGATGTCTGATGCTGAAGCCAGGTTGGGGTCTGAGGAACTATGGCTATATGTAAACATTAAGGCCTAGTGTCCTCAGGAGAACAGTTGCTCCATAGTAGTTTATACATAAGCCAGACCACAGGGATGAATGAAAGGAATAGGGACTTGAGACTATGGTACCTATTTTTCAGTTGGTTGGTTGGTAGGGACAGGGTTTTGTTATCTAGACTAGATGGGATTCTCCTGCCTCAGACTTGTGGATATAGGCCTGTTCCATCATGCCTGGACTAGGCTGAATATTCTAAATATTTTATATAGAAAGAGATAGTGGAAATAAGAGGGTAGCTAGACCAGGTAGACAATTCAAGTGAAGATAATTTTACAGGAAAAACGCAGTAAGATTTTAGGCAAGAGAATTTTAAGATTTTTGTGAAAGTGGAACATTGATGGAGTTCATAAGACCACTCTGAAGCACAGGAGAGACATGAACGTAAGTCTAGATAGACTAGCGGACTGGCAGCTAATGCTTTATCTTATATTTCCAGCACACACTTTTTATGTCTTTGCACTCAAACTGCCTCTTCGGGCAAACTGGTCTTCATACCTTTCCTAACACTCCTATAATCTCCCAGACCTCATGTACAAACACGTACACACCCTTGTATGCTCACATATGCACACATGCATACACACACACACACACACACACACACACACACACACACACACACACTTCTGCTTATTCTGTTTCTCAGACCTCTGTGTTTGTAATGCTAGTGACTTTTAGGAATTGACCCAAGGCAATTTAAGGGCCAGTTACCTATTATGTAATAGATCCTTGCCCTCACTCTCACTATCCAAGTTCATTTCCATCTCAGTTGATCTGTATGGAAAAGGTATCTTAGAAACTAATTGGCTTCAGAATTACTTTAGAGCTCTTGCAAAGAAGGCTTTGTTCCCATTCATGGTTGTAACTCATTAAGAGATCCTGCACATAGAACACAGGAGGCTGCAGGGCATCAAAGCCAACTCATTTTGAATGATCTCTGTTGTCCTAGACTTGCACCTAGGCTGTGAAGCCAAACTTCAAGGGCTAAAATCAAGGCAATCTGGGTAGGACCTGGGCCAGGGGTGTGAAGTGAGCAGAGAAGCCCTGTGGGCCTAGATGGCAGAAGTGAATGTTTATCAGTCCCTAGCTGTTGTTTCCCCAGTCCCCAAAGAGAGGGCCCAAAGTGAAAAACAGTCATTGCTTTTAGTATAGTAGAATAAAACCAGGTTAGTGTGTCCTGTTGGTTCAGCTGCATCCGTATAAGCTGGGGCAGAACATGAGACTGTAGTTCTATAAATTGGGTAGTTTTAAGTCTGCCTCTGTTAGCTTGAATTAAGTGCTCAGGAGCACCAGCTTTTGCCTGAAAGACCAGGGGGAAACCCTCTACCAGCTTTCTTTAGCTGGGGTTTTGTTTGACATTCTCTTTGTCTTCTTAGTGAAGGAACACACTGCTTTTAGAAATTAGATTTGTGTGTGTGTGTGTGTGTGTGTGTGTGTGTGTGTGTGTGTGCAATTAGTATCACTAGCTTCATCTTGGATGAAAAAAATTCCCAGATGGAAGTAATTGTACTCATAAGCCCTTGTATTTATAGAGTGCCTTTTGCAGAAAGCTCAAAGGATAACATTATATGGCATAACATAGTTTGTTTCTGGACTATCTCCATGTGCTTGGTAAGGGAGAGCGTCTATAATTATTTGTTGTCATTTGCCATTTGAAGCATGGGGAAACTTTGCCATGGCAACAGTAGAATTGAAAAGTGGAATTCTCCCTGCTGGGAGAGCTTCCTAAGGATCACTGAGGTTTAAGATAGGAGTTCTTCACCAGGTCCCAATGGCTCATACCCGTAGTCCTAACTACTCAGGAAGCTGAGTTCTGAGGATTGCTGTTCAAAGCCAGTCCTTTCAGAAAAGCCCATGGGACTCTTATCTCCAATTAACAACCAAAACCTGGAAGTGGGGCTGTGGTTCAAGTGGCAGAGCACTAGCCTTGAACATAAAAGCTCAAGGACAAATGCCCAGGGCCCTGAGTTCAAGGCCTAGGACTGGCACAAAAAAAGAAAAGAGAAAAAAGAAGATAGAAGTTCCTGGGCCCATTTCTGTAGGAATTCTAACTCTAGGATTAGGCCTAAGAATCTGTGTTTCTAAATAAGCATCCAGATAAATTCTGCTTCACAGCCAGATCTTGGAACTTAAACTGACAACTATTATGATAACCACACTGCTTGCCTTCTCCGCTTCCAGGAATGGCTTTGGAACACACCTCCTCAATGTCTGCCTTCTTGCTTCCCACTCTCTCTTCACCAGGTTTCCCAGCTCAGGCCAAGAAACATGCTGAGTCAGCTAAGAACAAACTATTAGCCCTGAAGGGAAACATGGCCTCGGAGGAGGAGGAGAAAGAAATCCTGGGAGCTCTGGTACTGCTCTACTACACACTGGGCATGGCCTGGCTCCTACAGAAACGATATCCTTTCCTTCCCAGATGGGTCTGGTGATTGGGGTTCTGGTCCACATATGACAGATGGATCATGTCATACATGGGAGGGAAGGAGAAGAAGACACAGAATCTTGGTAGCTGTGCAGACCCTCTACTAGGTGCTTTCTCTCCATCTGCAGCAGCATTTATCTTCCTCATGTAAATGTGGAGTGGAGTCCTAGAAAGGATCTCACTAGCAACACATCTTCTTGCTAGGTGCTAATTTCCTGAGTCTGATCTGCTTTTCATTGAGCATTAAACATCAGTATTCATAATAGAGATGTGTAGGAATGGGGAGAATGGGTTCGTAATTTAAAGCAGTTTGACAAACTAAGCTGCACCTTCTAATTCTTTGGGGAGCTTTCAGAATTGCTACTGTGTGGGTTCCACCTTAGAGATGTAGATCTGTTGACCTGGGGGTACATCCATTCTTTGAGATATTTGAAAGCCTCCCATGTGGTTATAATGTGCAGCCCAAACCCACTGATTTAATAGAGTTTAGTTTTAGTGGAGCTTTTGTTTTCTGGAAATATTATGGAGAGCACTTCCTGTGAAATGGGAAGCCAAACAAAGTAGACAAAAGTAGTTCTCCATATCTTTGGGAGATAGTGGTATTTGCCTATGTTCCTTAGCTTTCTGACACTATAGCAAACACTTGAGGCATTCAACTTACAAAGTATAGTGTGATGCCCAGTTTGGGGGTTCCAGTGCATGATCTATTAGCTCCTTTGCTTTGGTGCCTATAGCAAGGCAGTACATCATGGCAAGAACATGTGCCAGAATGGAACTATTTGCTCTTGGCCAAGGAGCAAATGAGAAAAGAAGAGGATGGGCAGGTATCTCATTATTTCCTTCAAAGGCCTTCTCCTTTTAGCCTCTTACTAGGCCCCACTTCCAAAAGTTGTCACCACCTCCAAATAACAACTGGAACCAAACCATTACCACATAGACTTTATAGGGTACATAAAACCTAAACTGTAGCAATGCCTTGCCTCAAGAAGCTTGTAATTCTGATAGCTTTTAACGGTGACGAAATGTTAATTATCATGAGCACATCACATGTGAGTCTGCTCTATATTACCCCTCCCCCACTACAGTTTTGGTTTTATTGTGCAATTCACAAAGCCTAATTCATGGCCTTCCTCTGATACACTTGTCTGTCGCGGGGCCGGGGGGGGGGGGGGGGGGGGGAGGGAGAGGTTGGTTATTGAAAATGAGAAGAATAGAAAGATGGTGGGAATTACCTGGGTTTTTCTTTCCTGTTTGCCTCTGGCCAAAAACTTGCTTTTCTTGGATTTTCTGAATTACCCAGAAAGTCTCTTTTTTTTTCCTATTCTAGTGAAACCACTTGGGGAAAAAGTGAATAATTGCTGTCATGAAGTAGTAAATGTCTCTACAGGAAATCTAATGTAATTTAAATTTTCCGTTCTTTCTTGCAAACTTTCATCTACTGCAGGCCTACAGCACTAGAAACCCAGAGCCTTGTTCTTTTTCCAGAGAATGCTTCCCTCTTGATGACGTACACACGTGGGGATTAGATCACCTAGTTAAATGCCTGTTTTCCAGCCTTGCTTCCTTTCCCCTGAGGCCCTTTTGTTTGCTTATCAATGTCTGTGTTGGTGGAGTGGTAGCCATTTGCCTTGACTATTTCACTGGAAAAGAAGCTTATTTCTATCTGCAGAAGTCAGAGACAACCATGAAGGAACTGACAGAATTAAATAAGGGATACATTTATGGAATGCCAATCACAGAGAAAGACCTAGCGATTGGTTTGGGCAGGTAAGATCTGGGCATAGAGAAAGTAAAATTTTTATGGAGGAGGCCTGGAGTTCCATGTTGTCTTGTTCCTCTATATAAGGGCAGAAAACTATTCAGAATAAAAAAAGCCAGGGGCTTACATAATAAAACAGGCTCATATTTACCAAATGTGTACCTATTTTTGCACTGTTCCACTAAATGTTCACAACCACCATTGCAATAGTCAGAAAAAAACTCTCTTGCTAGAGAGAAGAGGGCAAGGGGGCTGGAAGTTCCAGCCAGAGGACCACACGGACACCAAATAGACAGACAACAAAGTTTATTGCCAGCAAACTAACAATGCTGTGCCTTTCCGGCCAGGCGCAACACCACATAATGCTTGTCTTGAAAAGGGGAGATCTTTATAGGGCCAGGGGACAGGAATGAAAAGGTGGAATTTACTATTTGTAACAATTGTGGTTAGGTCTAGGCTGAAGGCGTTCCTCTACTGCAGCTGAAGGTGACTGGACTCCATGAGTTAACAATTGCATTCAGGTCTAATCTGGTCACCTGATTTGGGAGAAAGGGCTGAGGAACTAAGATGGGGGTTGTTAAGTCAAAATGGAGGAGGATATGCTACTAGGGACTAAAGCTGCTTTAAGTTGGATCTATGATACGAATTCCTTAATTCTCAGCACACTGTTAAGTTTTCTCTTATATTTATCCTAGGATTGGCTGGTTTTGTTTTCTGGATTGTCTTTTAATTCAGTCATGAAGTACAACAACTTAGCAGATAATAGTGAAGATAGGCAATTGGAGGCCATGGAAATTGCACAGCACGTGTATGATTTAAGGAAAGTTTTGTTCTGAGTGGAACTAAAGTTCATGGAATTCGTGCAAGCTAGAACAAGTCTTAACTGTTTTTCAGTTGAATTAAGGATCCTCTGAGAATTGGAATAATTAGAAATAAGAGTGGGCCCATCAGATTATCAGAAAAAAAATGAAGAGTTTACTGTTCCTTAGATTTTTAAAGTATCTTTATATCCTAGAAAGCAAGTCTGTTTGTAAAACCATAAGATGATTGAATGGTAAGTAAATGAAGCACATGTGTTACATCTGCCTCCTCTAAACAAACTGAATCTAGAAGTCAAATGGGAAATGGGGGGGAGATGTTGGAATGTCCATAACTAAATAAAATTATTGACTTAAGTCCATAGGACCGTATAGTAGAATCTAAAAATTGCCTCCTGCTGTCACACAGAGCTGTAGTTAAAAGTTTTTCTGCCTTATGTAAAAGAAAGCTTTGTTTCCTTTTTTAGAATGAATTAAAATGTTTATCCATTCATTTTTTTCCACAATATCCATTTTTTGCATGTACTGTTCGAAATGTTGGAATGCTTACTAGATACAACTACATACTAGACACTATTATGATTACTGTCCTAATGTATCTCATTCAATTAAATCAATTCATTCAACGGCACATCAAGTTAAAAATGAACAGTGGTGAATGACAGAGGAAAGAGACTTAATTGAATGTGGCAGTGTAAAGGAGACAAGGAGGCTGAGTGACCCTGAAATTCTCTTGAAATTGCCTTCAGGATACTGGCATACGTTTTTAAGTTTAAGTAAGAGAAGAGTTGGAGGAAGCAGCCAGAAGTATGTATCATTAGGTGGTCCTAGTCAAAGGTATTCCTTGGATATTGGATGGTGTCTAGTCATGATAAGAAGTTATTATTTGTCTGGGGCAGAGCGGGCATTTGGTTTTCTCACAAAATGGATCTGCCCTTCTTGGAGTCCCAAGGTGATTATGGAGAGGTGAGAGGAAATCACAAATAAGCAAGTAACTTCCTTCATGTTGGAAATCCCCGAGTTCTTGAATACCAGAGGCTTCAAGATTGGTTTTTCAAACCCAGAGACTTATGGTGTTTGGCCCTTAGATCTAGAGGCTATTGAACTAAGCTTTCAAAGCCAGAGACTTCTATCTAGGTGCTCAACTTAGAAGCATACTGCTTTGGGATTTGAATGTTACTGGTACTTCACCCTGCAGCTATAGACCTGGCTCCTAAATTTCAGATACTGGAGGCTTTGTTTCCTAACCCTTAATGACTCTCTGGACCTCCCCCAGTGACCATGGCATTCAACTCTCACAGTCTTGAGTCTTCACAGCCTCTCCCTTTCTCTTCCCTTGGACATTTTTTTAACTCTAGCCACTCCACGTTCATCTGCTCTTAATATTACCAGCTCAAAAGCCAGATGCCAGTGGCTCACGTCTGTAATCCTAGTTACTCAGGAGATTGAGATCTGAGGATTGTGGTTCAAAGCCAGCCCAAGCAGGAAAATCCCTGAGACTCTTATCTCCAATTAACCACCAGAAAATTGGAAGTGGCCCTGTGGCTCAAGTGATAGAGCACCAGCCTTGAGCTGAAGAGCTCAGGGACAGCGCCCAGGCCCGAGTTCAAATCCCACAACCATATACATATACACACATGTATATACATATGTCTATACATGTATATGTATATGTATGTGTATACATATATGTGTATATATGTATGCGTGTATATGTGTGTGTGTGTGTGTGTGTGTGTGTGTGTGTGTGTGTGTGTGTGTATATATATATATATATATATATCCAGCTCAGCTTGCTCTACTGGCGCAAACAAATGAAAATAGAAAAGAGATTATATTCTTCATTTAGTTGTGGAAACTTTGAAGATACAGGTATACCTATAAGAAAAAAAAAGCCATTGTAATACTACTACCCAACATTAATCGTTATAAACATTTGGCTCTATTCTCTCTCTCTCTCTCTGTATTCTATGTATCCATCCAATGACTCATCTATCTGATCATTTCTGTAATCTCAGATTTTATTTTGTTGTTGGTTGTGGGGCCTGAACTCTGGGCCTGGGCACTGTCCCTCAGCTCTTCAGCTCAAGGCTAGCACTCTACCATTTGAGCCACAGCACCACTTCTAGCTTTTTTTTTTTTTTTGCTTATGTGGTGCTGAGAAATTGAACCCAGGGCCTCATGCATGCAAGGCAAGCATTCTACCACCGAATCTCAGAATATCTTGAGTATGGCTTTATGCCTCATTTTTTTCAACTAGTCCATCTGAAGTCTCTTTCCATATTATTGTTAATCTCAAAAGAAAACACAACTCTGTGAAGCGTTTTAATATATGATGTACTATAATTCATTTAACCAATTTACAATGTTTCCTCTGTCTTCTCTCATCTTTAACTGAGGAGATATAAACTAAACTGAATTGAATAATGCAAAAATGCCATTGGTTTGATGGAGAAAACCAGAGGTAATAAAATTTCATTTCGATTTTAGAAAGCCTGTGTTTATGAGTAAATCATCCCATCTTGTGAATTGCCGGGTACTGTTTTTCCATTTGCCTTTTTAAAAATTAAAGTTTAGATGATAGTGAAACATTGAAATAGTTTAAATGGATGGTTGGCAGTAGAATCTGGTGGGTAAGAATGTACTTACAGCAAGACTGGAATTTGAGTCAACCACCCAGGAGTTTGGCCTATTGAGCCCAAATTCTTTAGTTCTTAAGAGTTAAATCCTTATGTGTCTGCAAAGTAAGTGACCTCTCTGTGACTTTCCACTTTTTTTTTTTTTTTGTAGAGCCTCCTTGGCCATCCACAGATTAAACCTTGCTCTATCATACTTTGAAAGGGCAATTGATGATGTTATTGCTGCTGAGGGGGATAGCACGTCAGATCTGATCAGTCTCTATGTGGAAATAGCTCAGATGGAACAGCTGAGAAAGAACCATGGGCAAGCCATCCGTTATTTAAAGCAGGTTAGTGCATTAGCTGGAGGCCAGAGGCCCAGTGACAATGGCCAGGGAAGCTGGAGCTTCTCAGAAAAAAAGGGGATAGGCCCAACTCCATATTACTCTGGACTTTCTAAAGTGGTAGGATTGGTTCCATGTTATCCTGACTTCCTTCTAGACCCACACAAGAGCTCATCATCAACCCAAAGCAATCTGCTATGGGACCTGTCAGTAGACAGAACTTCTCCTCCTAGATTCCCTTCTCTCCTCTGTCTGTGGAGGAAGCCATGTGTGAATCTACTCCAAGGACAAAAAAAAAATCAAGGTGCCTGGACTTCTCTCCAGCAAACACAGAGGGCCTTTTTGATGAAAAATCATAACATTCTGTTATAATGCTGTCATATTTCCTTTAAGCCAATCTAGCAGGTTGTATTTACAAACCTAAGGTTAAACTAACAAAAGGGTATTTCAACTTGGAGTTTACTTGACAAATGCTCAGGAGAGACCAAAACAAAACATAAGAAAGAATGTTGACTCTATCTTATGAAAACAGTTTAGGGTGCATTTATATATCATGTATTTCAAACTGCTATTAAGTTCACTTTTTCTCTCTTCTAAATAGGATTGTCCTATTGTGGCTCTATTATGTTCCAAAACCACAAGTAGAATACATGACTGTATTTCTTATAAAAATGTAGAAAAACCTTTTGCAGAACCTTCATACTGGCTTTCCAGAGTGGTTGAACAAGTTTACACTCCCACCAATAGTGCAGTAGCATTCCCTTTTGGCCACATCCCCTCCAGCATCTGCTGCTATTAGATTTCTTGATTATAGCCATTTTAACTGGGGTGAGGTAGAATCTCAATGTTGTTTTGATTTGCATTTCTTTTATGGACAGAGAAGTTAAGCATTTCTTCATGTGTCTATTGGCCATTCTTATTTCCTCTTCAGAGAAGTCAGAGCTCCCCTATGACCCAGCATTTACTCAAATGATAACAAACAAGGACATACTAAAGCTACCAGCACAACTATGTTTATTGCAGCATTATTCACCATAGCTAAGATATGGAGCCAACCCAGATGCCTCTCAGTAGATGAAGGGACCAAGAAAATGTGATACACACACACACACACACAATGGAAGTCTATTCTTCCATCAGAAATAATGACATTGCCCCATTTGTTAGGAAATGGAAAGACTTGAAAAAAATCATATTAAGTAAAGTAAGCCAACCCCCCCCCCAAATAGGTCCCATGGTTTCCTTTATTTGTAACAATTTATAATAATATATAATTTATATGTCTAGGATAATCTTATCAGATGAGCAGAAAAGCTCAAAAGCTATGTACATATAATCATATAAGATGATGCTAAGTGAAATGAACCCCAAGATATGGACACAAGAGGTTTTTTTCTTTGTTGTTGTTTTTAATGTACTATGTAATTTTTTTGGTTTCTTTTGTATGTTCTTCCCCCTATGGTATATCCCCTGTTGTCACTGTATTTGATTTTGGTGCCCTACATCTTGTATATACATTTATCTAATTAGGGGAGGGGAAAGGGAATAACAAAATGTTGAAACACAGGATGACCCATTGCAACAATGATACAAGACACTATTTTGGAAATGAGCTTTACAACTTGTGGGGGGAGGGGGGTAAGGGTGGGGGAGGGAAGGGATAGTAGGGAAAAAAACGAAGGAGGGGGTAACAATGTTTGACAAATGTACTCGTTATCTTACTCATGTAACTATAACCCTCTGTACAGCATCTTTACAATAAAATAAAATTAAAAAGAAATGCAGAAAAATTTCAATGCAGCCCAACCATATATGTGAAAACAGATGTTATAGAAAAGGCATTGTGAACAGTTAGACAGTCCAAGATTATAAGCATCATGCCATGGAGGCAAATGAGGGATACCATTCTGATGACAGGGCAGTCTTTGCCTAGAAAGCTAGTCTAGGCTTTGGATTCAAGGCTTTCTTTTTTTTTGCGGGGGGTGGGGGGGTCCGGTTGTGGGCCTGAACTCTGGGCCTGGGCGCTGTCCCTCAGGTCTTCAGCTCAAGGCTAGCGCTCTACCACTTGAGCCACAACACCACTTCCGGCTTTTTTCTTTTTGCTTATGTGGTGCTGAGGAATCGAACCCAGGGCCTCAGGCATGCAAGGCAAGCGCTCTACCACTGAGCCACCTTCCCAGCCCCGGATTCAAGGCTTTCTTAATTCAGTGGTCAGATCTTAAGGAGTTAAAACAATAAACATCAGTATTTATGAACACCACCAAAAAATAAGTGGTAAAACTTAGGAATGCTTTTACAATGTGTACTTGAGGAGGTGTTAATTCATTTAATCCATATAATAGCCCAATGAAGTAGCATCATTATTTTGTCTCCTCTTAAGGATATAAGAAGTACAAAGAGTTATAATTACTTCTGTTGAAGTTATATAGGTAACAAGTGGCAACGCAGAGATTTGAACTCACATCCTACAGTCTATACTTAGAGTAACTCTTTTCTATGACTTGGTCCAATATACTGTCCTTTCAGGCCCTTGAAATGTCTCACAAACTTCATCCTATGAAAGGTGAGGTGAGGCGGTTCTTTTCTTGCTGGTAGGTATGGAATAGATGTTTTCACTCTCTTGTGTCCTTCTATATTAGCACAAATAATAGTAATAATTATATTTTATACTTGTTTAATGCTTACTAATTGCCAGGTGATGCTCTAAACATTTTATATGTATTGTTTTATTCAATTATATACAATTATTTGGGACACTTGTTTTATTATCTCCATTTTCTGTTGTGATTTGAATAGGATCAGGAATCATCTCCTGTTCTATATACTTGTAGTGATTGAGTGGGGTTGGAGGTCCAGAAGTGTGGTTCTCAGATCCATGGTTTCTGATGACTGCCTTTGATACCGAGCCTTTGAGATGGTGCCTAGATTATAATGACAGGTGCTTGGAAACCTTGTGAAATACTAGCTATTACTGATTGAGAATTTACCATGTGATGAGTATTGCATTTGCATACACCAATTCATTTAATCTTTCCAAATCCTAAGCAGTAAGAAACATATATGCTTTCTGCTTAACAAAATGACTTGCTCAGGACTCACAGCTAGGAATTAGCAAGGAGCTGGGACTCAGGCTTATCTCTCATCAAATTCTGTAAGCTCTATATTGGCTCTCAACTAGCAATTCTATGTAAACTACATGCGAAACACTGTCATCTGTTCTTATCATGTCATTGGTTTCTTGTGTCTTCTAGGCCCATTCTATCTGTATTTCTTCATTCACTGAAATCAGCCCCCAAACTGGAGAAGTGAGTGCATTGCTTGCCAAAGCATATGCCATGTCTGGAGAGCCTCAGCACAGGGGTAGGTAAAAGAAGTGGCCTTGAAGTTACCATCGTTAACCAGTGACAGGTGTAAAATACATTAGTGAGTAATCTATCAGCAAGGTTATGGTTAGCTGCACATCCTAACAGAAAATTGGACCAGTCATAGTTTCATACAAAGTTAATTAACAGGAATTTAGACCTAGATGATAACAATTCTTCCAAATTGTTGGATCATCAAAACAGAAATAATAATCTATCTTCTATTTCTTTCATTCTCTTAGAATCTCAACAGAATTTACATTCATAAAATTTGCAGAGTTCTTATATATGGTGAACATGTTAAAATGGAGGATAAAATGCTCTCATTGATTGATGAGGAAATTCAGAAGAAAACATTTGTCTCTTCCTTCCTTTCTTCCTCAGTCTCCTTGACTGGCTTATAACAGAGAATGTTTTAGCAGTTAGAATATTCTTGATCTATATCTGAGGTACTGGGGGTTCTTGAAGAAAGGCAGGTGATTGGTTTATCCCTCAACAATATTTCTTTGTCTGGCAAGGTCAACTTATTGAGAGCACATGCTTTGGGACAGACACAAGTGAACTGGTGAGGGAAGACTATATCATTAGCTGCCTTGGGTGGAGTATTAGACAGTGTTAGAGTTGATGCCCTGTCAGGAGGAATTTAGGAATTTGTGAAGAAATGATTTAAACATTTAAAAACATTTTTTTTCCTTTACTCATATATGTAATCCATTTTGATGTATGTTATTTTCCAGCTGGATGGGGGAAGAAGATAGATAGATAGATAGATAGATAGATAGATAGATAGATAGATAGATAGATAGATGAGAGAATGAAGATTAGAAAATAAAGGATGCATTTTGTGTCCTAATGTTTCATACTCTTATATTCTCATGTTAAATAAACTTTTCAGTTTGTAGAAGTTTTAACATTTTAATTATTCTTTTAGCATAAATACTCATTGATAATTTTCTAGTAAAGGAGAAATATTGGTAGAATTACATGATCTTGTTGGCCATCCAACAAGTTTAAAAGGAGAAGTATAGGCATACAGTAAGAATTTATTTCTATGAATAAAGTTTTATAGCATACTTAAACTTTTTTTTTTTTTTGCTGGTTGTGGGGCCTGAACTCCGGGCCTGGGCACTGTCACTCAGCTTTTCAGCTCAAGGCTAGTGCTCTACCACTTGAGCCACAGTGTCACTTCCAGCTTTTTCTGCTTATGTGGTGATAAGGAATCGAACCCAGGACCTCATACATGCAAGGCAAACATTCTACCACTGAGCCACCTTCCCAGCCCCTAAACATTTTTTATTAATAATATCACTTTGTTTTTCTTCTATTTTAACTAGTACTTATATTAATTTGCAACATTTCTTTCCTTGTGGCCATGATATACCTGTTGGTTTAGAAGATGAGCAATGTGAGATTTCAGTGGCATAGATTGATTTTGTGTTTATAGTTTTATTTTCAAAGATATAAAACTGTTTAGTCAGATCCATGAGACTCTTATCCCTAATCTGGAAATGGAGCTGTGGCCCAAGTAGTAGAGCGCCAGCCTGGAATGAAGTATGTAAGGGATAATGTTTAGGCCCTGAGTTAAAGTTCCAGTAAAGGCACAGAAAACAAACAAAAGATGCCATGGACATTAAAAAGGTAAATAAATATTATGGAAAACTCAATCACAATCTAGATGACACTGGACAATTCTACAAAAATTGAATTTGCCAAAACTCATAAATAGGTTATTTGAATAGGGCTGTATATTGAAAAAAACTGAAGTAACAATAATAAAACCAAAAGCATAGGCTCAGAAGTTAATTCTACAAAACACTCAAGTAAGAAATTATACCAGTTCTATATAGTCTTCTCCAAAATATAGAGGTAGAGAGAATATTTCATAACTTATAGAAGCAGAGAGAATATTTCATAACTCATTCTCTAATTCCAAAATCAGGCAAGACCTGTAAGACCTGCAGGCCATATCACTTATGAATGTAGAAACAACAACAAAACATAAACCTAAACAAAACATTAGCAAATTAAACTCAGTGTATAAAAGTAATTACATACTATAGCAAGGAGGATTTATGGAGTTACCAAAGGCCAACATTTGAATACTAATTAATGAATCACATTAATAGACTAAAAAAAGAAAAATCATAGGACAATATCAGTAGATGAAGAAAGCATTTGACAGAATCCATTCACCATTCATGATAACTAACACACACACACACACACACACACACACACACACACACACACACACACACACACAAACAGAGAGAGAACTAGACATATAGGGAGATTTCCTCTGTTTAGTAAAGATCATCACTATTAGTTTGGATATGGTTTGAATACATCTCTCAGATATTCATGTGTTGGTCTATAGTGTGGTGATACTTAAGAGGCTGTGGAACCTTTAAGAGATGGAGTTTAAATATGAAATATCATTTGAGCCAAAGCTGATAATATACATTTGTGAAGATTAGCAGTTTGCCTTAAATAATCATCCTCATTTTTCCAGATGCTGTTGAGATATACTTTATAAAAAGTATCAGTGCATATAAAGCTTCCTTGGGTCCAGAGGACTATGAAACATTGACTACCATTGAAGAATTTTGTAAATGGCTTGTTCAAAATGGGGATAAACAGGTAAACAGGATCAATTCATAAACCTAATTGCTAGTTTGTTTGCATTAGATCTAGACAGCCATTTTCATCTCACATTTCAGAAACCAGAGTTTAGACAAATGCGGGTGAAATAGGAATAACACAGGGCTGGTGCTGCTTAAGAAATTGGTAAAAAGTATTTGTCTTGTATCTTAATACATAATAACATCTTTCACATCCAGGACTGGTTTCTACCTTTGGCTCTCGAGTCATCTTTCTTTTTTAATATGATGCTTCCTTCTCAGTCTTGACTTCCAGGAATTATTAGCCATACTTTGCTTTCCAAGTTGAAAAAGAAGTAAAAAATGGTTTTGACTGATGACATTTTTACCTAGAGGTTCCATGAATCTGTGTTATTACTCAAAAACTTTTGCCATGACCTTTGTGTAAGCGTAGTGAAACTTGGATCAATCACGCACTTCTGTATGATTTTGATCTGACAAAAGCAGTCTATATTTCCTGATGTAAATGAGAAACATGGGTAGAATTACATGATCTAATTAACCATTTTAAAAACAGCTTAAAAGTAAGCATATATACACACAGCAAGAATTAACTTCCATGAATGAAGAACATTTTTTAGAGCATATTCAAACATTTTTTTAAACTGATAGTTTTTTTTTCTTCTAAGTTAGCTAGTACTTGTAGAAGGTAAAACACTTTTAGTAATTTTCAACATTTTTCCCCCTGTGGCCAGAATACTTACTATCTCTTGGTTTAGAAGATTAATATGGGATCTCAGTGGCATAGACTAATTGTTTTTATAACTTTACTTTCTGAAACTTGGTCAGAATTTCCTAGTTTATACTTGTTATATTATGGAACATACTACTGGTGTGTTATTTCTGACAACTATGACCAGTACCTGGTAGGGTCCTCTACATGGGTCCTCCCACCATCCATCCTCCTTAACAGGTACATGGAAGAGTCTGAGTGCCACATGGCTCTGAATATAAACCATATACATATGCAGAATTTTGGACCAGTCCATGAGGGCTTGAATCCTGTCTGTTTTGTACCCATTGTCTGAAATAGTAACTTGACATACAGTAGATGCTCAAGAACTATTCAATGAAATTGCTCAATTTTTTTATTGGATTAGAATTCAGTATTCTTTCATTAATTTTTTTTATTATTAAGTAGTTGCACAAAGAGGTTACAATTCTATGTCAGGTTATGAGTATAATGCATTTTGATCAATGCCACCTCTTCTGTTGTTCTCTCCATTTCCCCCTCCCATCCCAATCTTCAAGTTACTGAATTTTGTAACATATTTTCTATTTTTAAAGGAACTCTTTTCCCCAACTGTAAGCCTGATAGTAGGTTCCAGGCTTGTTCTAGAGGACCAACAGGAAACTCAAATGTCTTGGCAATTGTGTTCCCATGGAACATAATTTTTATCTTGGTAAATAGATAGCTAATTTGTCACTGATTTAAAAAAAAAACTTTTTGGGAATGATAGAGAGAAATACATTCTATAAAAATACATTCTGTAGAAGTTTTAGAAATCATGGAGTTGAGCTGGGCGCTGGTGGCTCACGCCTGTAATCCTAGCTACTCAGGAGGATGAGATCTGAGGATCGCAGTTCAAAGCCAGCCCAGGCAGGAAAGTTCGTGAGACTCTTATCTCCAATAAACCACTAGAAAATGGGAAGTGGCGCTGTGGGCTCAAGGGTAGAGCACAAGCCTTGAGCTGAAGAGTGCAGGGACAGCACCAGTTTAAGCCCCACGACTGACAAAAAAAAAAAAAAAAAAAATCATAGAGTTGTTTCTCTACCACTTACATGCAAATCTACAAGAAAGGTGATATTGTAAAACCATTACCACAAAAAAAAACAACAGTGTAATTCAAGACAAAAATGCAAGAGAATGATTACAAATTAAAGAGGACTGAAGATCCATGGAACTTGTATGTAACATGATTCTTAATTAGATTCTAAAATGTTATGAGGAGCATTACTGGAAGAATTGGAAAATTCATGTATAGAGAATTAGGTGAATAGTATTTTGTTGATGTGAATTAATGTCATTGTAATTATATAGGAGACTTTCCTTGTTCAATGAAGATATGTGTTTAAGTATTTAGAGGTAAAAAGTTGATGATTGCAACTTACTTTCAACAAATATGTATGCATATATGTTCATCTCTATTTTTAATATATATTTATATGTCTATGTGTGAGCATAATAAAGCAAGTGTGGGAAAATGGTAGCCCATTTTTGAGTCTCAGTAATATTTTAAGTATTCATTTTACTCTTTTCCAGCTTTACTGAAGGTCTGAAAATTTTTCATATACAAAGTTGTGAAAATAAGAATAGGAGTTATGGAACTCAGTCCCAACCATAGC